GGGACATCCTCTACTCACAACTAGTTTCTTAGGTTGAATCTTACCACTGACTTTCTTGGGACCCATGGCATGATATATAATAATTACTTTTATGCTCGGAACCCAAGAAAGTACAAAAAAAAAATAGAATTTTTTACAAAGAATTCAAGCGCGATCGCCACTAAGCGGGAGGCACTGGAAAACGGAAGTGCGGGCGACCGTGCTACCAGGAACTACGCACTAGGGTGCCCATACTCGTATCAACAAACTACATTACTCGAGGCAAAGCTCGTAACCCGATTCAAATTTTACGAAGAAATTGGGCTCGTATCCTGAAAAGTTCGTAAATAGGGGCATTCGTAAGCCGAGGTGTCACTGTATTTGTAAACGGATTATAAGAATAAATATTGTATTGATACAAGAAATCATAATCTACAGTGCACCATTTACATGACTGATACTTTTCCCCTACATACACTCTGTCCCTACATACACAATATATATATATTTTTGTACTGCATAAACCCTTCCCTCCAGCTAAAACCCTTTCCCATAGCATAAACCTTTTCCCCCAGCATAAACCATTTCTCAAAGCATAAACTCTTCCCCCCAGCATAAACCTTTTCCCTCGGTATTAACTTTTTTTTTTCCCCCGACATAAACCCCCCCCCCCCCACCCGCATATATCCCTTACCCCCAGATACACCCCTTTCCCCAGCATACACCCCTTTCCCCAGCATACACCCCTTTCATCCCAACAGACACCTTTTCATCCCCAACACACCCTTTTTGTCTATGTACATGTCCTTTCATCTTCAACACATAGAAGATAAAGAGGCGATATGATCACTACATACAAAATAGTAGCAGGAATCGATAAAATTAATAGGGAAGAATTATCGAGACCCGGAACCTCGAGAACAAGAGGTCATAGATTTAAACTAATGAAACAAAGCTGCCGGAAAAATGTAAGAAAATTGACTTTTGTAAACTGAGTGGTAGATGGTTGTAACAAGTTAAGTGAGAAGGTGGTGGAGGCCAAAACCGTCAGTAATTTCAGAGTGTTAAATGACAGAGTACTGGGAAGATGGGACACCACGAGCGTAGCTCTCATCCTGTAACTACACTTAGGTAATTACAGCTTTTGTTCACAACTTTTGTTAGACCAAAGCTGGAATATGCAGCGATTGTATGGTGCCCATATCTTAAGAAGCACATCAACAAACTGGAAAAGGTGCAAATACATGCCACTAAGTATGTATAGTTCAGCTCCTAGAACTGAAAGACAAGAGCTATGAGCAGAGGATAGAGGCATTTAATATGCCATAACTAGAAGATAGAAGAAAAAGGCGATATGATCACTACATACAAAATAGTAACAGGTATCGATTAAATTTATAAATACCTGAGACCTGGAACTTCGAGAACAAGAGGTTGTAGATTTAAACTAACTAAACAAAGCTGCTGGAGAAATTTAAGAAAATTTCTTTACTTTGGCAAACAGAGTGGTAGACAGTTGGAACACATTAGGTGAGGTGGTGGAGGCCAAAACTGTTGGTAATTTCAATGCATTATATGACAGTGCTGGGAAGACACGACACCACGAGCGTAGCTCTTGTTCAGTAACTACACTTGGGTAATTACATACATGCATCAAATGCGCATGCATGCATGCTTTCTCATTGCTGACACGTGCCCTCTCATTACTGACACATGCACCCTTACACACTCCTTTCCCAAATGCAGTAAACACACTGCCCTCCAGCCAACAGAATTAGGTTTCCATACACAAAAAGTCTTAATGCACTAGGAGAAGAGGGCAAAGAATTCTCTTCACATCTTTTGGAGCAGATGGTAGCATTTAAAAATTTCAATTTCATCAAATACTGGAAGTCAAACAGGCAAGTCCAAGAGCTAATCTTCCATATCTACAAATGCTATTTAGTAAGAATTAATAAGTAAGGATATGTACATTAACAGCTGACAGAGTTGGGTAAAATTTGTAGGAGCCGTGATGAGGATTCGAACCTATGCTCTGGGTATTACCAAGCACACGCCTTGGACAACTAGAACATGGCATAATCAAAAGGATTGCAACCTGGGAATCTGTTCTCATTGACTCATCACAGTGTGATTTCTGTGTGTATTGAAAGTGGAAGCGTCAGGGGTAGAATTCTTGGACGACAGAGCCACTGTACATGGGGGGGTTTGTGTAAAATCCTGGTTCGGCTTCAGTGAAAACCTCTGGAACCGTTGTGGACTGTAGAATCCCAGGGTTGCAATCCTTTTGACCATGCCGTGGCCTAGTTGTCTTAAGGCGTGTTCTTGGGAATGCCTAGAGCATAAGTTCGAATCCTCATCACGGCTCCTATTGATTTTCTCATAAGAATTATTAATTTAGTAACTTTCAAAGCCTGGTATAGTACTATACTAGAATGTACAGTGTATACTTGGAGACCTTACCTAATGAAAGTTCATTTTGAGGTTCCCACAAGATTGATATGGAATCTAGAGATTTTATTTTAGAAACATTAATGTCAGAGCAGACAAAATGTTCAGGATGATAGGAAGACGAGGGTGCCTACTAGAGAATGTGTCAGGGATATATAAAAAAAGGCTTCATTTTTGTGACAACTGATTAAGTAGTAAGAAATTAAATATTTGAAGCCAGCTCTATTCAACGCTTTAAAATTGGGGGAAAAAAAAGTCAATTGTATAACATGACAACTGATCGGACTACAGTTGACCCTACAAGCATAATTAGAGATGCATATGAACACACACCTGAAAAATGATAACACAAGCTGAGGTGTAAGAAAGTACTATGCTAGTAAGAGCATGGGGGATAGGAATTACTGTTTTATCTGTTCTTTACTGTCTATTCTTAATGGAATATATGTGGTTTTTATGTAAATTTTCATGGACTCCAACTTCTGATCTCACAGAGATCACCGCTATGTGTATGCCTCCAGGAGCAGACTCTTGGCACTCATCTTGGTCACTTCAGTGGTTGGCTTTCCCTCTTTCCCTCCAGCTTTTGTTGGGACACTGAACTCTACTGCTTTCTTGATTCGAAATGATATTTCCTTTGTACCTGTGGTTTTTTAGTTGAACATTCATTCCTCTTCTATTCACCTAATTGTGCTTGCTCGGCCCGGCCCACCTCTCAACTGTCAATCAATGAACTGTTACTAACTACTAAGTAATTTTTTTTCCACACACACACTTCTGCCCGAATCTTTGTGAGTAAATGGAACACGGTCTGTTCCATTCATCTACCTCCACATGTTGTGCTTTTTCTTCCTGATCTTAAACACCTGTTGAACTTATTACTGGAGCCTGTGCTCCCTTTGGGAGATTTTAACTGTCAGCATGCCCTCTGGGGGTGATGATCTGACACATCGTGTGGTGTGCCTGTTTTGCATTTCTGCCATGCTTTCTGGCCTCAAGTGTTCCTAGGGTATTGCTACTTCTATTGTTTGTGAATGGGCTACTTAAGAACTTGTTCAAGTCAAATCAATGTTTGATAATGCAAAGTTAACTAAGAAAACAATAAAACGAGGACGGTACCTCAATGCAGGAGGATTTTGGCAAACTTCAGTTGTAGACAGAATTCTGCAATGTTTTCATGATTAGCCGAATTCCTGTATGCATCGTGTGATTCGGAAGCTGCTCCTCCCAATCCATGTTTGCTATACTGTAATTATCTTCCCTTGGCAAGTCAGTAATAATGTTATGAACAACTAACCGTCTTGATATAGCTTTGCTTATAAATCAGGTTCCCCCCCCCCCCCCCAAAAAAAAAGGAGCATGAGGGAATCTTGGTCAAGTTATTCTGCACATGAAGCTAATCCCCTGGTAATGTGTGAGAAGTTTCATGAAACTGTTGGTACTGACTGATGTGCGTACTTTCTACTTGATTATAATTTCACTTGAGTAAAGGAATTGAAGCATGCTGATGACGACTGAGGATGTTATGGTGTGGAGATTAAATGTGGATGGTCATTAAAAGATAATTCTTGATAGATGAGTAAATAGTCAACCATTGATTAGCTGAAGTTTTGTCAGTGCAGATTTGCAGCAATAGTATACTGTATGTGGCTTTGGTTTTTGTTCCAAAATAATTGGACAAGGAAAGTTTTGTAACTACAGGAATTCGTACATGGGGGTTGGCCCACCCCCTGCTGTGATCATGTGATTACTCACAATACAGTAGTGTGTTTATGCACTTTTTAGATTACATTCTTGTATGATGGAACCTCGCAAGCATTTTAGATTTTAGTATGGACTGTGTTTATGGCTGAAAAGTGGTGGGATTATTTAGTAATGTTCAGTTATGTATTTTATTGCGAGAATAATAAATTTTGGATGCTCTGGAACACCTGTATTTATCTTGTGTAATGTTAACTGTATTATGCATGCGCTGTATAACCTGTATGTGTCTGGCCTAATTTCGATCAAAACATTACGGTTTAACAGAAATGCATCCCTGGCGCAGAGTGAGAGCCGTCAATTTTTCAAAAGTAGATGAGAATAAGGCTAGGAAAACAATGAGAGGTATAGAGACTAAAGAAATAATTGGAAATGTTAGGTGGATAAGCATGAAGACAAACTATGGAAACAGAAAATATGAGCCGAGTGTTACAGAATCACGAATATACTGAACACTAATGTCCAAAATGGAATAAAATTAGTCGAGATGACTGGAAAATTTATACTGTGGTGCATTTGTGGAGTGGATGTATAAACAAGAAAATGGAAATTGCAGCATTGTTTAATTGAATGGTATTTTATTCAACGAATGTAGTTAGATCTGGATGAAGTACAATTTGTAAGCATGAGAGGCATGATGTGAAAAATGAATGGTAGGTAAAAATGGTGCATGGTGGTGGTGGGGAAGTGAAAGATAAGGTATTGTATAGTAATAATGGTATAAAGAGTGCTTTTAGTTAAGAGGTGACTGAGAATATATTGAGGAAGATAGTTTGGTATTTTCTTTTAATGATTTGTGTTATTTTCAGTGGACAACAGATAATGATATTGCCGCGGCTGTCCAAAACCTTGGTGTGAGTGACTTTTTGGATGTTAAGTTCTTTGAAAACCGTGCCAATGGTCAGAGTAAAGGTTTCTGTGCCATATCTTTGGGTTCGGAGAACAGCAGCCGGCTGGTAATGGAGAAACTACCTCGTAAGGAAATACACGGCATGAATCCTGTGGTCACCTTTCCCAGCAAGCAGGCCCTTAACCAGGTCAGGATAAGTATGCTGGAATGACAGCAGCAGAGTTAAGAGTTATAACATTATTTCTTATGCAGATTTCTCACACCACGGCAGAAATGATTTTTTTTTTAAAAAGAATTTCTACATTGTGTGCCAATCATTATTTTTTAACTTGTAATGATGAGACCATTGAAAACTTGTGGATATGATTTGTTTTTCATGTTGACTCATTCATTGACCAATTATATTTTTGTGTCTTGCAGTTCGAGTCTCAGAGCAAAACTCGGGCAAGCCCTCAACACCAACATCGTGGCGGTCCTGGTGGTCCCGGTGGCCACCCAGGTGGGGGTCCAGGAGGTCCTGGAGGACCTCGAATGCCTCCTCCAGGTCGGGGCATGCCTCCACCAGGAATGGAACATAGACCACCAGGTCCACCTGGCCCTCATGGTTCTCATGGTGGCCCCCATGGTGGTCCACATGGTGGTCCTCATGGTGGTCCTCATGGTGGCCCACATGGTGGTCCTCATGGCCCACACGGTCCTCATGGCCCACATGGTCCTCCAGGTCCACACGGACCCCCTGGTGGCCCTCATGGTGGCCCACATGGACCACATGGTGGACCCCATGGTGGACCCCATGGTCCACCCCATGGCCCACCCCATGGTCCACATGGTCCCCCAGGACCGCACGGGCCTCCAGGTATGGGTCCTCATCATGGACCTCACCCAGGTCCTCCACGTGGACCTCCACCTCACAACATGCAAGGTAACCTTACATGCCTAACAGGCATGCCTTGTTAGATCTAACTCAATACTGTATATGGAACTTCACTTTGATATAACTTACAAATCAAGCAAATCATTCTGTATTCATTACATTAAATTTACATTTACTAGAAATCTAAAAATATTTAGTAAAATATTAATAAAATATTAATAATAATCAAGCTAGGTTGCAAAATGTAGTGTGTTATCAAACGAGCAGCATCCATCCTTCTCTGCAGCCAATCGGGGTCCGTCTAATTACCACAAGCTACCACAAGCTACACAAGATTCAGAAAGCTTCCACCAGCTTTTTATTTTCGCCTAATTTCTTTATAAAAAGATACTTTTTCAGATTAAAATTATGTTTTTTCGTGTTGTACATTCAGCACTAACATTATAATGAGTAAATATATCATATTTATTCATTACTAACGTATTGCCAGGAAGCTTTCTGAAGCTTGTGGTAATTAGACGGACCGGCCAATCGTGCTCTGGGGCACGTTTGTCGTGGTTTTGAGGGGAAACTGGCATAACATAATTACTGTACTGAATGTTGATAATATTTTATTAGCTTTACATATTCTTGGTAGGGATACCTTAGTTTATTTTGTTTTTAAGTTTCTACTTTGTATATTAAAATGAACGTATTGTATTACTTAAAACTGTCAAGTACAGTACTGCAATTTTGTGTTTTTCTCCATCTTATGTTTTGAGAAAGTAATTTTGTCGTTAACTTCTAATCTGCACTGCTTATATAACCTGATCTATGTAGTCCTGGTTGCATTGCAGCATCCAAATTTATACACATACACATGATGCAAGTTAATACTCCCTGTACCCTCTTTTTCTGTTCTAATTGTAAAATGGTAGAACCATAAGACTACCCTGGGGGGGGGGGGGGTAGAAATAGCCTAAGCTACTCTATCCCTTTGAGATGTATTTCTTTCTTGTCTCACTAAACATACTTGAACTTGAAGCCTACCATGTGTGTTAGTATTGCATGTATAGTTTTGTATCATTGGAAATTTTATTTCCTCATTCATATTTGTAATGAGAGTTGATGTCAGCTTTTAGTGAATTTATAAAATCCAACTTTCTGTATGGAATATTTTTTCAAGTCTTCTAGCCAGATTATGACTGGATATAAAATTAGATATTCAATAATTTACAAGTCTCTGTGATGAAGTGATAGGACACTCGCCTGGTGTTTCTTGAGCGCTTTGTCCTGGGTTCGTATCCTGGCTGGGGAGGATTTACTGGGCATCAATCCTTAACTGTAGCCTCTGTTTACCCAACAGTAAAATGGGTACCTGAGGCCAGATTCACAAAGCAGTTACACAAGTACTTATGAACGTATACATCTTTCTTCGATCTTTGACGGCTTTGGTTACATTTATTAAATAGTTTACAAGCATGAAAATTTCCCAATCAACTGTTGTTATTGTTATAAACAGCCTCCTGGTCCTTCGGAGCTCATTAACTGTTTAATAATTGTAAACAAAGCCGCCAAAGATTGAGAAAAGATGTACAGGTTCATAAGTACTTGTATAAATGCTTTGTGAATCTGGCCCCTGGTTGCTAAATGATTTGGCGGGTCGTATTCTGGGGAATATTAGGATTAAGGACTTGCCCGAAATGCTATGCATGCTAGTGGCTGTACAAGAATGTACGAACTCTTGTATATATAAATAAATAAATACAAATAAAAAATAAATATAGTATATAGATATGAAAGTGAAGTGTGGCCTAATGACCATCCTGTTTCTCCTCCCAGTAGGTGGTTTGCCATTGCATACTCTCTCTCTCACAAAACACTCATTCATATGTATGTCTTAACCTGCCCTTAAAACAATTTGGCCATCCTATGTCTTATATCTCCCCCCCACCATCTACTCTTAATTAAGGAAACATGAGTCGGTAGAAATTCAAGTGAGCCATGAGAGAGATGGTCCAAACCCTTGTATGCGACGGCATACAAGGGTTTGGAAGCTGCGTGGTGTAGTCATTGGGTAAGTTGACTGAAGATATGCAGTTTGTTGACTCATGGTGCAATGACAGAAGCTGTCATGTTCAAGTGGGATTTTTTTTTTATGATTGTCACTTCTTTGTTTACACATTATGTTGAACTCAATTTATGCAAACATAGTTGACTACAACAGTGTTCAAGTACTGTACTCACTTAGTTGTGCTTGCGGGGAATTAGTTTCGGCTCTTTGGTCTCTCTTTGTTTTTGTTTTTTATTATTACATTCTTCTGTCTTAAAAGCAACAATTTATAACATTTGTTATAAGGAACATTTTTTTCCAGGAAGACACTAATATACTAAATAAACTTCTCCCTCACTGTTAATCATAGGATGTAAACAGATTATATATACCAAATAGCTGTTTTTTTATATAATTTATGTCTATTCTGCACAACAGGCCCAGGACCCCGCCCTCCACCCCCACCTGGTCACATCCAGAGGCCCATGCATCCTGGAGGCCCAGGTGGTCCACCACCAGGCCATGGTCCACCCCCTCGTGGGCCACCACCTAACATGGGCCCTCCACCTGGCCAGCATGGTCCCCCACCACCTCGTGGACCTCCTCCTCCGATGGATCCAAGGGCTCCCCCACCAAGACCAGATTTTATACAAGGTATGTTTGCATGATGAAATAACATTTCATTGTACTATTTCTTTCAATGGTTTTATGATTCAGTATAAGACTTATGGAAGACTTAAGACTTCCTTATAAGACTTAAGGAAAATCATGGATGGTAAATTTAGAGAGTATCATGTTCCTTATGTATATACAAATGCATGCACACAAAATCTGGAACCCCATGCTCCTGTCAAGTAATGAGGGAGCAGTGGGACCCAAGAGCTGTAGCTCATCCCTGCAAATACAACTTGGCAAGTCCTTGCATCCACACAAAACAAATACAGTAGGTGTGCACTTTGTATACCTTTATTCATCCATCCATACATGCGTTTGTTCGTTACATTCACACCTAGGTATAAATATTTTGTGAATTAGCTACAGTATGTTAAACATTCTGAATAGTTACTGCACTTTGTATGCAGTTTGCTGCTTTCACATGTGCCCTTTGCTGCGGTTTTAGACAGTTGCCTCGGATGAACTGGATTGCTATTATAAAAAGTAAAGTTCCTAGTAGTTATATCTTGAATTGATATGGGGTCTTTTAAGTTATGTTAAATACCTTTCAGCATGTAACTACATATCTGGTTTATTTGAACCCTGTAACTTTTCTGGTTTTCTTGGTGTACTTATAAACCATATGTCTGGTTTGTAAGTATATTTGTACACCATAGGTATTCTGGTTTACATTTTTGCAGTACATTTACACACTACAACTATTCTGGTTTATATTTTGCAGTGTGCATATAACCTACAGGTATTCTGATCTAAATATATTTAGTCGGCGTTATTTTTTACCTGGTATACTTATATGCTGAAGCTGACTTCTAGCCAACTTTAAAACCTCTTTGGACATTAATCAGCATAGTATGATAACATTTGACTTCATGTAGAAGGGTTATGAATGAGGGTTAGGACAGGTTATTCGGTGATACAATTACTCGGTTTCCCCATGTACTTGATGAGAGATGCTATCTATTCTTTTCCATCTGTGACATGATAATAATTCATTATAGTAAGAAAATCTGTACTCTCTAGTGGTAGAGTGTGCGGCTGGCAATGCCTTAGTCGCGGGTTTGTGTCGCCTCACAGCCCCAATGGATTTTCTCATTGATATATATCATGTTAGTGTGATTTTTTGTGTGAATTCATTATATTGTTATTTTGTGAATTCATTATAGATGTAAGAAGAGGCATGAATGCCATAAAGCAAAACTTCCACACTTGATCAGAGTCTTCTGGTGTAGATGACTGTGGCTTGCACCCAGGAAGCAATTGCTTTACTTTTTGTCACGTGTATTGCTTGTGATGTGCACAGCTGTATCTTATACATTCTGATAACCATTATCTGTGGCCAGTGGGAAGTATCAATGTCCAACTTGTAAAGACATGGCATTTTACACTCAAAAGTATTATCGACTAGTTCGAAGTGGTGCATAAATGTTACATAGTACTGAGTGCTAAATTTTGTAAAAAATACTAGCAATCCTGAAATTTTTCTGACAATTTTATTTTGTCTGGATTTTTCAGATATGCAAACATCCTCTTGCATGCATTTGTCCATATAAAGTTCACACTGTATTTACATTTTTGAGGTACCGTGGTCCCTCAATCTGTGTAGAGGTCACTTTTATTAAAATCCATGTGTATAGCAATTTTGCTTGGAGTAAATTTAACATGCAAGAAAAGTAGACTAGGGGTCCAGAGACATTAAAAAGTTATTCTTCAATTTGTATCTCAATATAACATCTGTATATTGTATGCTGTATCTGCATGTACAATAAACAATTTTGCATGTTTTAAACAGAAGAATAACCCTTGCTACTGTTTATCATCATCTCATGCTTGGATTTCTTGGGAGAATTGCCAGGCGGTATTAAATTGCAGGGGTGGATATTGGTGGGTACACCTGACAGCTGGGTGGACAGCACTTCGGATTCGTAGTCCTGAGGTTCCGGGTTCGTTCCCCGGCGGAGGCGGAGACAAATGGGCAAAAGGTTTCTTTCACCCTGAGGCCCCTGTTACCTAGCAGTAAATAGGAACCTGGGAGTTAGACAGCTGTTACGGGCTGCTTCATGGGGATGTGTAACAAAAAGGAGGCCTGGTCGAGGACCGGGCCGTGGGAACGCTAAGCCCCGAAATCTCAAGAATCTGTGTTTTACACAACTGATGTTACTTCAAAAGTGACACTTCCAATAATTCTTTTGGGTTCTCACTTAAATCAAACTAGCAGGAATTTCTGAATAACTTCATGTGCTTGCTGTGACATAGTCAGTCACGGGTATTGGTATAACAGGTTATATTGTTAGAGAGGAAAATTGCTGTATTGTTATTTGCTTTGTAATGCTTTTCCTGCTAAATAAGCTTGTAGGGAGGAATGTACCTAAAATATGTATGGCATCCTTATGCAACGGTTGGAGTAAGGAAGTTATGATGCGCAGCAGGAACGTCTTTAATTAATACTATTATCATCAAACTATTCAGAAGTCGTCCAAGAACAGTGCAATGTAAACCTTTTAAATCTCAGAGGTTCAGAGTATTGTAAACTAGTTGTGATTTACTTAAAATTCCTAGTAGTATTATCACAAGGGAGCAGATTTAGTCTATCTTTCACGATCTTAAACCCAAGAATGGATTTATCTTTTGAAATGTATAGTATGCCCAAAATATTCACCATTAATGTCGTCATCTTTAATTTAGGGAACTTGAGGTAGCAATAGATACTTTAATTTTTTCTTCATTTTTTCTTAATGGTGCACATCTAGGCAAACTCCCACAGTCTCCAGCTCCATGAGGATTGTGTACTTTTCTGTTATTGCTTTTAATGACCTGAGACTTCTTCCTTGGTTTCTTGTACCTTATCATAACATGATAGATGCTTGGGTACGATCCATGTGATATGAATATAATTCACAAGCGGGTAGAACAACAGTGGTTTGTGAGGAGTCACACTGAGGAAACTTTGTGCTCGAGCATGTAGTGTGACAATAAAGTAAAGCCTTGGTGACAACGATATGCACGGGTAATACTATGAGAGTAGCAGGTACGACATTAACACGACACCTCACTTACTGATCCTTGTGTACACACGACAATTTATGCTTTGTGTAAACCACGTCTTGTTCATTCGGAATTTGGAAGTTAATAATAGATTTGCAAGTTAATAATAGATTTGCAATCTAGCAAGGTAACTCCTAACTACCTCAGATAGTGGGACCACTGTATTTGCCTTGCATTTATATGCAAATTTAGATTTTTCATAAGAAAATGAATGTAAACATTTTTACATTTTTATTTTGCATTTCTTTATAAGTCTGGTTTAAATATATATTTGGGCACTTAAATTATGAAAATTAATAACTCTGGAAGGTATGATTTAGTTTGTAATGCTGCAAGCAAGTGTTGTATGAGTCAACTTCAAGAACATTAGTATTAAAAAGTTTATTTCTTGTCAGTGCTGAAAGTAGGGTTTTTAAAGTGATTGCAACCTTGATTAGTGAAGGTAAGTTTATTGTCTTAGCAGTGAGTTGGTTCTAGAAATTATTATTACATTTAAATGAGGTTTGGATTATAAAGTTTTAATAACAAAATGGTATGTTTTTTTTTTCATTTTATCCATTTACTTTACTTGATCGGGATAAATTAATGTAAAGTATTCAGTGGAAGAAGCTAATACTATTCAGTAGTTTTGAAATAATTTTGGATAGACTGCTAAAGTCTTACTGCAATTTTACTGAGTAAAATAACTGCAAGGTGGGGTCCTTAACACCGGGGGGAACAGATAACTTACAGTGGTGTTTGTCAACAGGTGGCTTCCCGGCCACGAGCAGTCCCCCCTCGGTACCCCACAACTTGGCACTCTCTACGAGGCCGCCTATGATGCAAGGTACCCCACCACAGATATGTGTGGCGGCAGTGATGCGCTGAGCATGCCTGTATGTGCTGGTCTGGGGGATGTGATGTGGTGTGGGTTTTAGTCCCTTACATCTCAGCTTGATCAGTTGATCAGTATCTTTTTGCTTGAGTATAGATTTTAACTTTTTCAATGGCAGGGTAATGAATGAGAGTGCTTCTTGGCCCATTCTTTTCCTGCTTCCTTTACCGTGTTGTATCCATTTACTCTCAAGTATGTGTTAACATAATATGCATAAATAAGTACAGTATACTCCTTGTTCTTTGTGGGGATGAATTCTTTATGGCTTGTGCATACCTGACTTGTGTAGTATTTTGATAAGCACGAGTTTAAAATGCAAGATTTCTTTTAAATTACATACTGTATATTAATCCTTTTTAAATTTGAAGGTACAATGATATAACACAAAAGTAAAAGAATGTGTTATTTTATTATTGTATAAATAGTTTTTTATTGGTTCAGTTGTGAACAGTTGTATTTACAAGAAAGTAAGAAATTCTTTATACTGTTCTGTACATGCATTTAAGCAATTATAACAAGTTTTACAAATGTTAGTACTGTATTGTTGTTTCTATGCTTATTTTGCCTTATTTATGTAAAACTGAAAGCTGTAAAGTGCCTTCATACAGAACTGGAAGTCTACTCTATTTCTGTGTGTGTGTGTGTACAGTGTGGTTGTGGTGTGTGTACAGTGTGGTTGTGGTGTGTGTGTTTGTGTGTGTGGTTGTACAGTATATACAGACAAGTCTTCGAAACAACGTCCCAAATCCACTTAATTCCCCTTCCCCCATTCCCCCCCCCCAAAAAACCTAATCCGCATAACCTAGAAATAATTGCAGCTGGGCAGCATCGGTACTTAATTGGTGTTCTCCGAGTCTTGTTATGTGTCTCACTCAAGTGTGCTATCTCTGCCTTGAGTGCTATATGCCAGGCTTGAGTGCGATATTCTTGGCTCCAGGGTAACATCTCTGGCTCAATTTTGATATCCCAAAGCAAGAAATAAATTAAAGGCCATAATGGCCTTGGCTCAGACCAGTGTAAGTTTTGGGAGACTCATCTGTATGTAATATTCTATTTGCTTTGCAAGTATGGTGAAGTGAAAATATTTACCAGGAAAGAAGAGGAGATATTTGACATCCAGTACCTTCCTCCCTTGGGAAAGAGTAATTTCCTGTTGAGAATTAAATATGCTTTACGATATAATCTAGAAGAGAATGTGGACATTGAAACAGTTGATAAACTCGATTTCAAGGGAGGACACTATGGGGAACTTAGAAAATTCTTTAATGAGTTTAATTGGACTTGTTGCTAAACAAGGAAGTAAATGTCCATATGAGAAATCTTGCAGAATATACGATGAAGGCACACAAACATTCATACCAAAATGAAGAAATACCAGAAAATAGGATGGGTTCAACAGAAATTGTGAGAGGGCAAGAGAGGAAAAGACAAGAAAATTGGTTCAATATCGGAGTAGCCCAAAGATGGAAGGTTCACTGGATGAACCCAGAGGTGGAAGGTTCATTGGATGACCCCGAGGTGGAAGGATCACTGGATGAACCCGGGATTGAAGGTTCACTCGCATAATGGTTTTCTCACAGCCATGCAATGTCGTAGCTTCCACTTTTCATCATTGTTTTAATAATGGGACCTGCCTAGAAGCTAATTGAGTTGACTGTCTTTGCTATAAAGATTTAGAATAAGTAAACCCACTGAAGGCTTTTTATATAAATCATAAGAATTATTTTAAGAAAACTTGTAGTGGTTTTTGTGTGCGTGTGTTTTTATGTGTGTGTGTTTGTGTGTGTGTATTTTATGTGCGCGTGTTTTTGCGTGCGTGTGTTTTCGCGTGCGTGTTTTATGTGAGTGTTTTTGCGTGTGTGTTTTTGTGTGTGTGTGTGTGTGTCTATTTTTGCTTGTGTATTTTTATTTGTGTACTCGCCTAATTTTGCCTGCAGGATCGAGTTCTAGCTCTTGGCCCCCCGCTTTTCTAGCCGTTGGTTGTCTAATGCAATGACTCTTGGCCTATTTTCCTATCATACCTGCTTTTCAAGTTATGAATGGCATTAGCCTCTACAATCTGCTCCTTTAGGTCATTCCATTTACTCACTACCCTTACGCTAAAAGAGCATTTTGTAACATCTCTTTGACACATCTGAGTCTCAAGCTTCCATGCCCCATTGTTCCATTGTTATTCATTGTAAACATTTTCTGTGTGTGTGTGTGTGTTGATATGTATGTACAGCTGTTGAGCTTCGGTGCCTAGGGTGAGGCTAATAAGCTGTTAATTTGCCATACTGTAAATATTTTTACTAACTAAATCTATTCTGGCTATTATTATTATTAACCCCTTTCCTGTGGCATTGCTATGACGATCCTTTAGCTGTCTGCTATTGTTGATAAATTTGTTTTTGCGAATGTATGTATAGAGAAAATGATGGTGAATTCAGGAAAGATAAATGAACAAATTTAGGTGCTATAGTTTTGCCATGGTAGTGTAAAAATTTGGACTTTACCTCAGCGGGTCTAGTTTTTAATTATTCGGAAAAGTTATTTTTGTATTTGAACAGTCAATAAAAAGATTATGATGTAGTAATGTAAACTATTTTAGTTGCCATAAAAAATTTTGATGTGGAGCTGAGAAGCGGTGGAGGCACTACCCCGGAAATTGTCCACGGAAGAATAACAACTCCAAAGAAAAGTCTTAAAGAAAAAAAGGGAAATATGTGGAAATAAACCAGTTCTTTGTCCTATTTCAGGTTTTATGAGATGATAATTGGAAAAGTTCCCCTCTTTGTGCTACAAAAATAACATTTATAAACATATGTATAGTAATATATTCCATGTTAAAAAAAAAAATTACAGTACAATGTTTTAAAAATATTTTGGTGACCATAATTTGGATGATGGTGGACTGAAAAAGGGGTTTACCTATACAGTAATCTGACAAAAAGAATAACAAATAATGTTTTTAATTCCATATTTATTGTATAAGGAGATTAGAAATCATGAAAAATCACTCTTAGCATTCCAAGAATTTTTAACAAAATCAAATTATTTGTTTATGTACAGTATATAGGTAAAAAAACAAATACACTTACCACATTACCTTGAGGTTACCTTGAGGTGTTTTCAGGGCTTAGCGGCCCGGTCATCGACTAGGCCTCCTGGTTGTTGGACTGGTCGAGCAGGCTGTTGGACGTGTCTTAACACCACGGTGTCGGTGTTTTGGGTGTGAGAATACACTAGTTGCATAAGATTATTGTGCCACATGTTTGTATGGTGGGCTGGTCCTGATGAGGACCAGCACTGATATGTGCCATAGCACTAATATAATTTATATTTTATACATTTTACATAGTTATTTACACTACATGCTCCATTTCCTTTTATTGTATTCGTGAATATGGCAAACGAATTCACAACTGTGCTTTTTACAGAGTGAGTGTAGAATGGTATTCAGAGAAGCAGGGCAAACAGAGGTACCAAACACTCGTAGAAATGCAGGGTAACAACCATGCATTTCGGTGGGATGTATCCCAAGAACGTTGTATAATCAGATTGTGCGGCATGTCCTGGAAGTGACCTTACCTTCTCATCAAGGCCCAATTTTGGTCATTGTATTTCTCAAACAGCTGATACACAAAATCATATGAAAGCCTGTGTAGTGTTGGCTTCTTTCCACTCTTTACCCTCCAGAGATCATAGGCATTTAGGATTGAGCAGTCATTGAGGTGAAAGTACAGTTTTTTGTAATACTGCATGGATATCTGCAGGCAATCAACTGAACTAGTCTGCCTATCTGCCTTGTCTATCAAGCACATATTTGTATTATAGTCAAGAATTGCTGCAGGTTTCATGACTGAAGTGCTGGTCATTATGTTTCCTTTTTATATTGTTGAGAGTTACCCATCACTTCAGGGAGCCGGTCGGCCGAGCGGACAGCACGCTGGACTTGTGATCCTGTGGTCCCGGGTTCGATCCCAGGCGCCGGCGAGAAACAATGGGCAGAGTTTCTTTCATCCTATGCCCCTGTTACCTAGCAGTAAAATAGGTACCTAGGTGTTAGTCAGCTGTCACGGGCTGCTTCCTGGGGGTTGAGGCCTGGTCGAGGACCGGGCCGCGGGGACACTAAAAGCCCCGAAATCATCTCAAGATAACTCAAGATAACTTATCTTGCTAACTAATGGCCAAATTTCTTTTGACAGTTGCAATTTTTTATCTTGCATGTTTGTTTTTATAGATATTTAGGCATTTCTTTCCAACTCATCATTTCTGTGTACAAAATTTTGTCCATAATTACCGGGTACCAGTTTCTGTAATTCATAAAATGAACACCTTCAGGTGAAACTTGTCAGGTTTGATCCTAATGTACTGTTTGAAAATGATGCTTTGCCTTTCTTCCTGATAGTGCTCCCTCACACTAAAATACTTCTTATATATGTAGTTGGAATCCTTTTAGAGACCTGTCATATTCTATTGTTTAAAACTCAGCAGCAGTTACCAAATGTATTTGTAAAGTGAGCATTTTAGGTGGGTTGAAACAAATGTTATTATGTAAGTACTGTATATATACTTGGGTAGAGAACGAAGCATTGTTCAGTATTGTGTGGTAGGTTCACTTTATCGAAACACACGTGAAAAGCATTTAGTCAGGACTGTATTATCAAATTAGCCAATGAATGTATATATCAAAGTTTGAAAGGATATATTTTGGAAGAAATTGCAATTTTGTCATTTGTACTTGCCTGGACAAATACAGTTGTGCTTATCAACTGTTGTTGCACACCATATAATAATGCTTGCAGAGCTGCTCAACACTTCATGCAATGTTGACCAGACCACACACTAGAAGTTGAAGGGACGACGACGTTTCGGTCCGTCCTGTCCTGTCACAATCGACTTGAGAATGGTCCAGGACGGACCGAAACGTCGTCGTCCCTTCAACTTCTAGTGTGTGGTCTGGTCAACATACTTCAGCCACGTTATTGTGACTCATCGCCTGCACTTCATGCAATGTTTTCACTGCTTACTACTTTATCATCAGCATTGGGTTTGGTTAAACATCACTGAAAATATTGCTCTGGCAACGATTGTCTGCCATTCTTTGAAAAAGTCTTTTTGGCCCATATACACCCAAACCATGCTTCGTTCACCTGTCTACCACAATATAGCGACTGATAATGACGTTGACCAATTGGCACCACCAAAGAGATTTATCAATGATCAGATAGTGATTTTGAGAATTATGTAACAGACTAGGAAATATTTTGACCAGACCACACACTAGAAGGTGGAGGGACGACGACGTTTCGGTCCGTCCTGGACCATTCTCAAGTCGATTGTCTTGAGACTAGGAAATAACCAAGGCAGAAAATGATGGGTTGGGAGGTTTGTGTTGACAGGGTTCAGGGGTTTCCTAACCCACTGTCTTGGTCTTGTGTAAGCATATTACATCCATATAAAATATCATTTGTTTGTTTTTCTGTGACTGACATGGAAATCTATATACTGTACTGTATATCCCCCCCCCCCCCCCCCCCCCCCCGCGTAAAACCACAAACAGGTGTCGAAGCAATTATGTTTCAGTTTAGGTGTTAAAAACTGCCTTTCCAGTTCACCACCATTTTCTTCAGAGATTGTTTTGTTACTTCCCTCTATACCTTTTTTATGCATGTGTATATATCTATCTCCCTTTCCAAGTTGCAGTAACAGTCATTCCTTTAAGTTTGTATGATTAAATTATAATACTGTTACCTATTCAATTCTTCTTCTGTGTTAGCCTTTGGGAAGCTTCATAGAGAAATTGTCCTGAACATTGTAATGTGGTTAACAAAAATGATCACAATGTCTGAATTATTGTAGCTAAAAATTGACAAGTAGATGTAGAGGGAGTCTGAGAGTAATTTGAATAAAATAAAGTGAAGGATTACATTTATGAAAGGAGAGTTAATAAGAAATCTGGTAAAGTGTAATGTGCAAAATTTGTTGCTTTGACTCACTGGGTAGTATATGTGAAGTAAGGTTTAATGTATTGTAATTGGCTGTAAACTGCAAAAGCATATTTGTTATAATATTTTTAATTGTCAATTGGCAGGTCCTCCTCCACATGGTGCCCCCCCACCACATGGGCCTCCTCCCCATGGCGGTGGACCACCAGCTCCTCATGTCAACCCGGCCTTCTTTCCACCTCACAATGCTCCTCCTCCTGCTGCAGCTGCGCCTCCTGCACACTACGCCCCACCACCACCAGCTCACCAGGTAACTGCATGATGTATAATTCAGGTGCATGTTCATTGGTTTCACATATCTTGGGTACACGCAAAATATTTTAGCTCAAACTAAATTTTTAGCAGGCACTTTGATCCTTGCCATCAACTTAGACTAGTCAGTACGGTGAAGGCCATGTATCGAGTAGGGTTGGCATTCAATCCCCCGATGGTCCAAGTGGTTGGGCACCATTCCTTATCCCTTCCTTCTATCCTAACTATCTCCTTATTCTCATATCTACTCCAAGTGCTATATAGTCACTGTGGCTTAGTGCTCTCGCCTGATAATTACAGGGAATAATTACCTGTGGTTCCTATGTTAACCATACATGGATTGGTATGATAATCAAACAGAAAATTGAGAAACAACGTTTTGGTCTGTCCTGGACTCTTATCAAGTTGTGTCCAGGACGGACTAAAACGCCGTCGTTTCTCCATTTTCTGATGTGTGGCTTGTCCATCGTAATTGGTATACTTTTCAAGTTGAAATATCTAGAAATTTATTTGTTTTCCTTGTTTCGATAAAGTGAATTATCAATAATATATAGTTAGCCAGAATAGAGGTAGAGTTGAAACAAAAGCTTCATTTACGTGAAATATTTAGTATTCTGTGCCTTCATTTTATGTCTCATTTTTTGTTATGTACTTTGTTGAATTGATTTTTGAACATCCAGTGCATTTTCAAGTGTCAGTGGAAAAAGTCTTATAAAGTTTTTTAAAATGCTATGCAAATATCCTTCCAGCATGGGTTCGGTGGGGGTGATCATCGCATAGAAGGCCCACCACCACTCTCAGAGGCAGAATTTGAAGACATAATGAATCGTAATCGTACAGTATCTAGTTCAGCAATTGCTAGGGCTGTTGCTGATGCCTCTTCTGGTAAGTATTAGACTGAACAAAATTGAAATTTGCCTATAAATTGTTAAGTACAATTTATAATTTAAGTATGCTGCACCCTCATTACTATCGTGAATTCCAAGAAATGTTTTCATTACTAGGTTTTCCAATTTCCTCTCCCTTTGCTTAAATGTGCATGGTAATTTTATCCTTGTAATTATATCACTTGCAGAAGAGGTATGTTCACTTGTTTTTTAGTCTTTAAATATATATTGACATGTTGACCAGCTGCACACTAGAAGATGAAGGGACGACGATGTTTCGGTCAACCGTTCATAATTACATACATTTATTATATATGTGTGCCCAGTACCATTGTACCCATCACCAGTTTCGTGAGAAATTATAAAGATTTTTAAGAATGCTCATAGCCCCGTTGATAGAGCTATGGCCTCACACGTGTGGGGTCCACGGTTCGAGACCCCATACAGCCCAGGTGAACGGAATTGGGTTCAGGATAAGAACCTGATATTCAAATTTTAGGTCCAACTGACTCGAAGGTCAGAAAAGTTATTCAAGAACATTGTGATCTCAATATCTTTTTAAGTGTAAAATTGCTGACTAGTATGGCTAATAGATTAAATACATTAGCCAGTATAAATACATAGCACTTAAAAAAATACGAGGACAGATTGAGGAAATATTTCCCAGCCACTTGGACCATTGGGAATTATTGCCCATAGGAAGGCTGTCATGTGCAATAGGAACATGTCCTTCCCATAGGAAGGCTCTTCTGTCATGTCCAAGTGGATGGACATGACTATTAGATCAATCTGTCTTACAAAGAACAATGCTTTTAGATATGCAGCTTACTTATAAAATCAGAGAAATTATTAGATACCAAATACTGTTCAGCATACACCAAATTAAAATAATTCTTGAAGGATTTGGGAGAGGCAATGGGATTTGTCATTTTTGAACAGTTTGTTAATATGTAACAATTTTTGTTCCTGGGTAGTAGGTATTATGTATTAATTGCTTAAATATTTACTTGGTATTACCAACTGGCTGGGTCAATCTTGCTACTTTAATCAACATAAATAATCTATTTCCTGCAATCTTCAGATACCTTGTTTACTCCAATGAAAATGGTATCGAGTTAAATCAACAATGGTATAATGTGCTTTTTTCTATTCATGTTTTCTGTATTGCAGGGGAATATGCCAGTGCAATAGAAACCCTGGTGACAGCAATATCCCTTATAAAGCAGTCAAAGGTGGCTCATGATGACCGCTGTAAGATTCTTACAAGTTCACTTCAGGCACGTATTACTACAGTACTGTTGTATTTGTTTTTTGTGCTATATTTGTATTTTCTCTGGTACTGATACAGAAACTGCATTTCAATAACACTGTGATAAATTCTTTATATACAGGACACCCTTCATGGTATTGAAGCCAAGAGCTATGGCTCCAGCAAAAGAAGAGAACGTTCCCGAACACCAAGCAGGCGACATCGTCGTGACAGATCACGCTCAAGAGAGAGAGAGTATCGTGACCGTTCACGTTCACATTCTCGTGAGCGTGACTACGAACGGCATCGCAGTGAGAGAGAACGTGGAACATCAGATCGTACATCGGAGCGCGATAGGGACTATGAAAGATCATACAGTCGGGAAAGAGAATATGACCGAGCCCGTGAGCGTGACAGAGAGAGAGATAGGGACCGTGAGAGGTAAGCAAAAAGAAAGCAATATCTTTTTAAATGAATTACACTAATTCTATCTTTTATCATATAGTTAACTTTGTAAAATTTTATTTTCAATGTCTTACTTTTTACTTTTTTTTTTTTAACTTGCACTATTCTCTACGGTTTTAGAGTTCATATATTAATCTTCTGTACTTAAATTTAATGTCTTTAAATATACAAACATTATTTTTAATTCAGAGTTGTGATCAGCTTTGATCAAAAGCTTTGCTTTTGCAGTTCTTTATCCCAGGAACTTGATTAATCCTTCTTCCTATTGTTCATGCACATTGCCTGAAGTCACATAATCTTGCAACAATCTTGCCCCAGTCACATAACTGCTTCAGAAGAATTACTGGCATTGCTCAACCAGAAGTGACAAATGCCTTTCCAGCTGTGAATGCTCTGGATCATGCCTTGCGAACCACACGTGCATAAATGTAACCTTTTCTGTGTAGCCTCCGTACTTGCTATTGTTTAGAAGTTGTTCATTCTTCATTTGAATATAAATGTATTTTATAGATGAATATTGGAAAGATGAATAGGAATGTGTGTGTAGGGAAGCTGTCAGAGGAATAATGAAAATGGAAGCAAAGTGGTGAAGGTTTGTGCCATGGTCACCTGGAATCATAAAATTTCATTGTCATTGTAATATTTTGAGCAGAAATGTTTCTAACAACAGTGGTTTTAGTATAAAGTAAACATTAGGTTTTTAGTAGTGATACATTTTTTCCTATTCAAGTTTTGTGGTGGTTTGAATTTTGAACACCACAGTGAGTGTTTGTACGCAATGTCCCATGGTAGTAGAGTACTGTGGAAGCATCGGTGGTGATATTATTTATGTCGCGGTAATTGATTGTTTTCAGTTATCCTGTAAAATGCGTAAACTGCACATATCTTGAGGTTATCTTAAGGTTATCTTGAGATAATTTCGGGGCTTTTAGTGTCCCCGTGGCCCGGTCCTCGACCAGGCCTCCACCCCCAGGAAGCAGCCCGTGACAGCTGACTAACACCCAGGTACCTATTTTACTGCTAGGTAACAGGGGCATAGGGTGAAAGAAACTCTGCCCATTGTTTCTCTCCGGCACCTGGGATCGAACCCAGGACCACAGGACCACAAGTCCAGCGTGCTGTCCGCTCGGCCGACCGACCTCCAATACCTATGCTTTAACGAGAGGCACCTGCAGGTTAATGTAAACATTAGGTACATATTGTGCTCTTTATTAAGACTGATATAATATATTAACACTTTCGCGCTCTCCGCAAAGGTCACTCAGCCAACCGAATGTGCGCGCTGCGTTTTTATCGCTTAAGCGTAAAAACGAAAATGTGTATACTCTTTTTACTCTTCTGACCTTAGTTCTCATGCTACGTATTTCATTTTGGTACCAACGTGTTCGCAATAAAATTCTCTAGAAGAACATCAGTAAAAAAAGTCACGAAACGTATAGGGATACCAGCACCAAATAAATAACTACGAAGATGACTCGCCGTGAGCGCCCATCAGCAACAAAATGTTTTTACTCTTGGGATTGTAATCACCTCCACACTTATTCTACAGCGTTAATTTTGGTATCAATGGACTCGCAATGAAATTCCCAACACGGTGATATGAATATAAGCGTAGAATAATGATGCGGCCCGCCCGCAAGAGTGTGGGAAGTGGTGAAATTGTTACCCGGTATCGGTGACGGGACGACGCACGGCGCTTTGAAAGTTTATACTTATTTCACTCTCATGACATTAATTTTCTATGTACGTCATTCATTTTTGTGTCAATGTGTTCGCAATAGAATGTTCTATGTGCCCATAGGTAAAAAATATCAACAAAGCGTAAGTTAGAATAGCGCCAAATATAAAACAACGCTGGAACATATCAGTGAGCGTCAAACACACACGAAATGTTTTTACTTTTGTTATGTTTGTCAAGTTTATACTTGTTGCACACAGTTATTTTTGGTTGTATATTGATCGGAATAAAATTCCCTAAACAGACATATGCATATAATACATGATATGGGGGAAGCATTACCAGTATAAACGGCTAAAGTCACCCACCTGCAACCCGTTTGGGACAAAATACCATTTGATCGAAGTTATCCACACCTTTCATGAACTTATTGTACCATGCAGCCTAGTGGTGAGAAAGAGAGCCTCATAGCGCGCAGTTTGAAACAAACCCAAAGTAAATCGGATAAAAATTGAATTTTATACAAATATTTTAAAAGAGGACTCAACTTTATGTCCACTATGCGTTAGTTAGACGAAACGGGACGCGCCGGCGCGTCCATTGTTAATATTCTTTGGTACAGTACTTAATTAGGTATTCCCAGTAATGATAAACTTGTGATTTTCTCTTCGAGATGTGCATTCAATATCACGAGAATACGAAAATAGCCCATCTCATTGTTTACATTTCAGCTGAAAAGTATTGTTCCTTTTTAGTATTTGAGCATTTTAGCAGCAAAATACTTTTAAATTGTTTTAAGTTTCCTAATCCGTTTGGTATGGAGTTACACATCTGAAATGTGAATCTTCTTTTTGAGAAGTACACTTTGAACATTTCAATTTATGGAGCTATTTTTTAGAAAAGCTTAAATGTCATTAGCTAGAGTGACTACTGCATGCAGTTGAATTGGTCTCTCTGTTATGAAGACAGATTGTATACAGAACCACTGGCAACCAGTGATCACATGCATCTAAAATAATAAGAAATATGTTATTTAATTAGTTGCCAATTGTCGTACTGTTTCCCTTCACATCCAGGTTTGACTGTTTGAGACTCTAGCTTCAATTCTTTGAAATGTAACCCAATGCAGTAAAACAATTGTTTTGAATTTAACAAAATTTGTTTAGTTTTGCAGCCAGAGTTAAGGAAGCTTTATTATATCTACCTTTTACAATTTACAAGACATTCATGATCATATAATTGATCTCAAGGATGCTGTTGGGCAGAGTAGGCAAGTGAGAGCTAATGTTCATCATAATCTTTCTTAAATATAATATTCACCTTTTTTCTCCAAGCTGATACCTCCCCCACTCCACAAGGGGAAAATGGGATAAGGATGTATATACACACTATCACACTTGATTGGTCCTTAAGGCAATATTCTACTGCCCTCTGGTTTGGCTCTGCTGCAGTCATGGCAAGATGTTATTCTGCAGCCACTTGGTTGGAACCTGTCCCCATCGAGACATGTGAGGGCTTAGGAGGTGATGGAGGATAATTTGTTTCAGTCTAAAACATATACGGAAAAATAATGTCTAACCCCAAAAGCATTTCTCAAGTGCATTTTGGCAAAACAGGTCACCAAGCTGCACCCTGGCTGACTACCCAACTACACACTAGGTCAGTTCCAGTGTCAGCCAACCGGGTGTCAATGCTGACAAGAACAGCAAACCTATCCAGCCAAAGCTTTTCACAATTCTTTCTGACTTGCTTCAGTTGCAGTGTTTGGGCAGCACCTTTTTTAAAGTGGCTTGAATTATTCTTTAAAACTTGTACTTTGTGCAGTGGACTTACACAACAATAGTAAAATTGTGTAAGACATAGGGAGGGTTGAAAAGTGCTACTTGTGTGTGTGTGTGTATGAACTTCAACCAACCGGTGTGCAATATTTTATTGTTACGTCTCAGTCTCTATTTAGCTCTTTATGCTTTGCATTCTAACTTTTTGTATTTGGTACATTTTGAGATCTTTTGATGTTCAAGTTCTGTATTGTATTTGCAAGTGAAGTTGTGGTTGAATTGAAGTAGATTCCACAACTGCTTTATAGTTCATGAAAAATCTTTTCTTGTGTGTTTTTTCATTCTAGGATAAATGAGATTCATTAGTGCTATCCAAAGACCCATGAATTAACTAGAGAATAGAATGTAACTAAGAAAGGAAAGAGAATACAGTACCACAAGTTTTTTTTATGAAAGGGGGAGCACTGGTTGCAGTAATAGTTTTGAAAACGGAGGAGACAGGCTTTCACAATATCACGGAGGATCACGTTGGCTCAAGTCTAAGAGGGCCATCATTACAAAATGGCTACTTACTGTCTTGTTGTTCTGGCTATATGTCATCTCCCACCATTGGTCTCCACTCTTGTTCTGTATTGTAGACATCTGGGATCTTCTTGTTGAGTTAGTTACCTCTTCATTTCTCATCTCCTTCAAGACTTTCTCATCTCTTCTTAAATTAAACACATGAACTTTTAATCCTTTGACTAGGAGTAACATCATTTGATGTATAAGGATTCACAGGATTACATGGTAACTGATGCCAATTGACATCACTGGGAATGATCAAGACATCACTGGGAATGTGATGCCATTGCTAAGGCCAAAGGCCAATATTACCTAATAAGACAGTAAACCTTGCTATATGTAAAAAGCCAGTGATTAAAATAAATGTGTCACATTTAGCATCATTGCACCCAAGAATATTTATACAAAGTATTAATTTTGAGATAAAATATTGAATTAGTTTTTCTTCAGTAACCCATATTTAGTTTGTATTTTCTCCAGTTCTCACAAGAAAAGGAAATGTAGATACTGTATAAGGGGTAACACTCTTTCCAAATTTCAGGTGCTGATGTCAGTGTTAAAATTTAATTAATATTAGATTCTGTATAGCCAAGGTAGTCTTATGGAATATATTGTAAATACTTAAAAAATTAAAAATTTTCTCATATTTTAACTTGTCTGCACAGAAACCGATTTTTGTTAACTTTTGCATTCCTTCATAGATAACTCTGCATCAGCTTGAGCTGGTCCTTTGGTTTTGTCACTATATAATTTTCAGACTGATTTTCTATACATCTCATGACTTGTGTCCTAATTTCTAGGTCTCATGTTGACCAGACCATGATTTGGTCAACAGAATTTGGGACCAGAATTGTGTCCAGATTTCTAGGTCTCATATAGTTGTTTCCTGTTTATGTTTTCGCTTTGTTCTATGCCTTCCTGGTTATACACTTGGTTTCTCACTACTGTCTATTGATCACAGATTATTTCTTCACTTAGTGGAATTATCCTTCTGTGGCATCTGTACACTTCTGTGCTACATATTCCTTCATCTCATTTAGTGCTTTCCAATGGATTTCCTACAGATAATTTCTTGTCCACTTATAGATTCCTCTTCTGTTGTCCTGTGCCCTTTTTTTTTTTGCAGCAGCATTCCTTGGTCGGGTTTCCTTTTTCAGCTTGACAATGGTATTCACAGGCTATGCTACAGTGAGGCCAATGTGAGAATTAGTGACTAATTCCCAGTGATACCTTTTATTCTGTATTCTCAACATTGGCCTCATTTTATGTAAAGTGTGTTTAAAAATGTTTCTAGGAAGTCACTTGACATATGTCTTCAATGTTCACTGACTATGCTCTTAACATTCCTTTCCCAGCGTAAGGTTCCTTAGGCCTTACTCTTCTTCTCATTGTGACTATTTTATTCATGATGTTAGGCTGTTGCTTTTCTCAAATTCTTCCATGGGCCTTTTGGTGTTTGACAGGGTTTGTATTTGATCGCTATAATTATCTTCCTATTCTCCATCAGTGTCATTTTGATTATTTCTTTGCTGGCCAGATTGAAATCTGCAGCTGTGACTTTACCCAAGTTATACTTTCTTAGAGATTATTCTCCCCTAGCTCATTGCCTATCGTTACCATGTTTTGGGGAAGCGTCTCTTGCATCAAAAACAAACAAACTGGATTTAGTTAATTTTTTTGTGTGGTATGTTCTCTGGGTCATTTGTAGCCAAAATGATTGAATCATTTTCTCTGTTCCAATACTTATTTCCAGCTCTTGGTAAGCCATCTTCATATTTCCATGGCCTTGAGGGATCTCTGGATTTTTTTTTATCTGGATGATATTTTGTTGGATTTGATGCCTTGTAGGCCTCCAGATCTCTTCAATTTTGACACCAGATCTTCCTCTTTATGCTACTTAGGAATTTTGTACACTGATTAGGAGCTGGATGAGGTCTCCTTTCTTTGGGTGTATAACACAATAGGTATATTTGGGTGATGACCAAACCACAACTCAGAAGATGGAGAAGCGTCAACGTTTGTCTGTCCTGGGCCATTATCAAGTTGTGTGGTCGAGGAAGGTCCAGGTTGGACCGAAACGTCGTCGCTTCTCCTTCTGAGTTGTGGTTTGGTCATCATTTCTTCAGCCATGTTATTGTGACTCATCGTCTGGATATATTTGAGTATTTGCGTCCCTGTAGTTTGTAGTGTTACAAACTCCCTTTGTGTTATTATTCCTGGATTGTGATTTTTGTGTTGGATGAACCATCTTGACGCTAGTAGAGTTGATTAATCTGCCTTCCCTAACTCGGATGATTTTAGTGTTCCCTCTGAACCTGGGAAACTTTGTGAACCAAGTGATTTTACTAGCTCCTCTGGTCTAGCTCTGGTTTTCGACCCTTGTTCTTACTGTCTCTTGATGCATTTTTTTCTTCCCGCCCATCTCATGCTACTCAGACACCTCCTGGCTCAGCTGATCTTTGCATGTGCATTTTCTAGGGCAGCTATATCAATGTTTTAATGGGTATCAGGTGGCATGGACTCTTAACTAACATATTAGGGGGGGATTTTTTTTAAGCCAGTTTAAGGTGGCCTGTAAGACTCTTCAGTATCATTTTGCTCTGCATTAGCCTCCACCCTGTTTTTGGACAGATGGGTTTTGCTTCATGTCATGCATATTTGACACAGATTCTTGCTATTCTTCCTTTCTTTAGCTTTAATGGGTGCATTCTTTCATATTAGTCTTTCCATTCCTCCAGCTTTGTGCTTCAATATAAAGTGCTAAATTTTATTAACTTTCCTTGGTTTCAGGTTTCCTTTTCTGTTTAGGGGTTCTCTCTCTCTCTCTAGACGCTCTCCTTTTGGTATTGTTGAAACTCGGAGGGGTTAATGGGCTTCACACTATGAACTGTCAATCCAAGGTTTTTTCTTTTGATTGTGGACTGTTATTCCTCACCTGGAAGTGAGGATTGTTTCTTCTCACTGTCAATTCTTAAGTAACTATTAGTATAATACTGTTGTTGATTATTTTTCTTCCTCTGTCATTATACTGTATTTAATTTTCTTTGCCTTTTTTCATAGCTTATCTCTCTTACCTCTTTCACATCTTTGGATTTAATTTTCTTCTTGTGCTTTCGGTGCGAGTTCTATGGTGGAACTGCATATTATAGGTCTGCCCTAAGGTATGCATAATATATTATTTTTAATGTTTCGCTTTCAAAGTTCTTAGAGCCACCATTATGTGTCCTGTGGCATCCGTATCTTATGGTGTCTTAGCACTTCACCTTGGATTCTCTCTTCTTGAATCCTTGCCATGGTCCCATGCACTAAGGTCTATGTCTCAAAGTTGCTTAGCATGAGTAGTTAAGCTGAGTCAGCCCAATGTGTATCCATGTGCCCATGATCAGTATAAGTTCGCCACCTTAAAGGCGTTCTTTTTGGTGATAATCTGTGTTGATATCACAGATTGGGGAGGCTTGGAAAACCCCTCAAAAAATGTTTGCCTCCCGGTGCCGTCACCTTGGGCAGGCTCACATAATCATGACCCTCTTCTCCTCAGGCGGGGTCGGGTGTCAGGGGGTGCGGCTGCTGTTGCTCCTGCCGCTTCTCCCCCCTCAGCTACTCTTCACAACTCTCTGCAGCCCAGGTGAGCCTTAACCATGTTGTAGTTAGTGATGGACACAAGGGTTGGTGAGCTTACCTCTTTGCTCCATTGTCCTGGGCAAGAATGGGAGCAATAGAGTGGGATGGCTCGGAAATCTGGTCGAGTTGATACTGTATATGAAAATACACTTCTCTGAACAGTGCACTCGGTTGCTCTTGTCCATCCTTTCCTCGGTCCTTCAGCAGGAATGTGGGATGGCTGGGCTGAAGGGCTTTATTGTGGTGTTGGTGCTGCCCTCTAGTGATGGTTAGTGGTAGGTAAAATAGATAATTAGTCAGAATGCCACTTGGTAACCTTTTGTATTGCCAAACTGTATCTAGAAAAAGCTTTGGTATGGATTGGATTTTGTCACCCTTTGTGGACTTCCCTAATTATGGCAGATCCTAAACAGGTGAGTAAAGGTGTCCTAAACAGGTGTCTCATCGCTTTCAAAGTTCAATTCTCGCTCATCAACAAGAGAGCAACCAAGTATGCAGGAGAGTCGATTTGCAGCAAGAATGTATTTTATCAAGATAATTGATAATGTAAATCTTGCATGGATGAAGACACTTGAGTTTTACTAACAATCGAGAGGAAAAGTGAAACCTTACCCATAGCACCAGAGGTCATGAGAAAATATATAGGAGCTGTGATGAGGACACAAACCTATGCGGTGGGTGTTCCTAGACACACGCCCTAGACAATCAGGCCACGACATGGTCAAACAGATTGCAACCTGGAGTTCTAATGAACACACAAGGATTTCTTGAGGCTTCTACTGAAGCCGAAACAGGATTTTCACACAATCACTGTGTGTGAGAGACTACACACCGCATTGGTTCGAATCCTCATCACCGCTCCTACGAATTTTCTCGTTATTGTGATTACTCTCTGTGACCTGAGGTCATGTTAATAAATTAACATGAAACATAAGGATGATTTTCAAGAACTTAAGCAAGGAACTTTCATGCTATGTTGTTTATGTTAGACTAGCAGAATATGCAGCTCCAGCATGGAACCCACACTTCAGCTATACGGACAGGTTGAGAGAACTCGCCCTCACAGCATTAGAGGAGAGAAGAGACAGAGGGGATATGATAAGGACATACTGTACTAGATCATGAAGGGGGGAATAGAAAAAGTGGATAAATAAAAGGAATCCTATTTCAATTAAATGAGGGAATATCGATGGAAGTTTGACTTGGAATCGAGTCGAAGAGAGGTCAGGAAGGCGTCGTTCCCACCCAGTACAGGTGGTCAGCAAGTGGAATGCATTCAAGGAAGAGGTTGTTGAAGCAGATTAAATCCACAACTTTAAAAAGAAATACTGTATCATAAAAATTTTAATGTTGAGAGAGGTACTTAGCTTGCCAGGTCTAAATGGCTACGGGGTGGTGAATAAAGAGCAAGTTACACACAGAAATTACAATAGTGTGATGCATTAAATGAACAAATCCACAAGGACCTAACGAGGGTTTGAACCTACATCCAAGAAGATCCCAGATGCTGCCTTACTCGACTGAGCTACGACTGGTAAAAGAATTGCAACCGGGAAATCATCCTGATCTACTGCGGGTCCTGCAGCCTCTCCGAGACACAAACCAGGGTTTTACGTAATTCCCCCATGCACCCGAGCTCTGCAAATAAGCTGTTATACCTACCTCTGTTCTACCGCTTCACCCTTCATTACACACAGAAATCACAATAGCGTGATGCATCAAGTGAACAAATCCATTTGGCAGAGCTCGGGTGCATGGGTTATTTTATTTTTATTGGTTAACAAGTGGAAAAAAATTTGAGGTAGAGGTGGGTGGCAGAAGCAATAATCATTCACATCTTCAACATGAAATATGAGACAATACCACCGGTATTTGTGTATTCAAATTCAGTACAAAAATGTGCCTCTTGAATGTAAAATACTACATGCACATTTCTGGGTAGATATCACTGAATTACTGTTTTGGGCCAGAACGGAGTTGTTGTTCCATTAGCTAAATGTTTACCGTGCGGCAGCCAATGTTTTATTTTTTAAATATATCTTATTTTATTTTTTATCTGCAGGTATTATGACGAGCGTTATCGAGAGCGTGATGCAAGAAGAGAGCGAATTGAAGAACGCCCAGTTCGTGAACGTATTGAAGAACGTAGCACGCGGGAAGATGTTCGAGAGCCTGTTAGAGAACGTGAACGTGACCGTGACCGAGAAAGAGAGCGTGAACGAGATGTTAGAACCAGGGAAGAGAGGGAATCATCATCACACCGTTCCTCCAGACACTAACCCCTTAGCTCCTGCCCATTCATAACCTGCTTTGAGGAGACTTCCTTTTGGATGTGACAATTTAAGTCATTTTAAAAGTTTGGTTATATCTTTAGCAGCTTTTTGAGGGGGATAAAAATATCCGACCAAGTAAGACTGCATTACATTAAATGAGTATGAAATGTAAAGGTTGCTGCTTTTTTTTTCAGACTTAATGGGTGGAAGTTGGATCCATTTTCTTAGTATTTTTTATGTAGATACTTATTACTTGCTTTTTTGAATTGCAATAAAGGTTGCAGTTTAGCTGATCAAGTATAGTTAATTATTATAAATGATTCTTTGGTTGATGCTGTATTTAGAATTACCATTTTAAACCAGTATCTGCTGCAGATCACATCAGCAATGCATTTTACATGTGGTTTTGCTACAGAAGCAGTTGCAAGCCGTCAGTGTTAATGATAAATACCTGATGGGCAATAATAATCAATTTATTTGTTAAGTTCATCTGTAGTATTTCTGTTCATGGCAGTATTTTGTGTTGCACAAGTTCATCTTTGGGGACATGAAAACATTTCCATTGCCATTGTTTATAATAATGGTGTGAAGCATTGGCAGTGTCCGTGTGAGTGTCTGTTTAGGTACACAGTGTAGTAAGAAGTTGTACAAGTTGAAGCAATTTAGGCAACATTTTGTTTGCAATTTATGCAAAGTTTGTAGCATTTGAGTACCTTTTGTATATTTTGTCACGAATGATATGTTGTTACTAAGTATTTTACACGATTGGTTTTGAAATGGAAATATAGTTGCATTATTTTATAAGAGGAATGCTGACTATGTGATGATACAGATCAATTATAATAAAAATGAATGCAAAATGTGTTTAATTGTGGAACATAAATTTTGTAATATTGTTTGCTTCATATTCAGATACTTATTCTAACATGGTATATGAAATGTCTGTAACAGCTGCAATTCAACTGTAAATGTCATCAAATGCCCAATTCAACACAAATTGTGTTGTGTTTAAAGATAACTGACCCCTGGCTTTGTGATAATAGGTAATTTCATGTTGCCAATTAAATTTACAAATATTTGGCAAAGACAGTCCAGTAATAGGAATTATTACATTTTTAAAAATATGTGAAGTTGCATTGGTTGTGTGTGTGTTACAGAACAAAAATGGTTTCCCCAAAAATGCCCTTTGCATTAAAAAATGAGAAAGACAATGGGTATTAGTGAGTTACATTGCCCAACCCTGACCATAAATATTGAAAGAAACAAAAATTGTTCATACTTCTCCTGTATTTTTTTATTGAATATATGAAAATTGTCAATAAATGTTTTCTTGGCTTTCAAGTCTTTTTAACACACGAGATAAAAGAAAAGGTCTATTTTTGGCGGTAGAAGGTTTAAAAATGTTGGCTTATAAAACACTTTTGCAAATTTATATTTTGTATAATTATATTGAGATGATTTATACAGTAATGTGTTAGGACATCCATTTTATATTCTGACAGTCTAGTTCACAAGATTTTGTGTGACTGATCCAAAGCAATTATACATGTGAATTATAAAATGCTCAATATTTCTTATTTAAATTCTTATATAATGAAAAGAAGCTATGTATTCATATTGGCTTTGCTCTCTCTCTCTCTCTCTCCTCATTTGATAAATTGTAGTTTCAAACAAAATATGAATAAAGATTAGTTTTCTGCATTGCAACAGGATGCAACAGTCTACTGTATTTAAAATATATACTGTATTTAAACACTTGTACAGGAGGTGTAACAAAATTACTGAAGCCTCTAACCCTTATGCTTCTGGTCTTGCTAAAATGCAATTGGCCGGAATGTGGAAATACAAGACTTTTTCCTTTTAGAAATTAGAGATTACGATAAGAAAAGTCAAACAAATCTTACCATTGTGTTGGTCGGGTGTGGTCGTATCCATGCACAGAAGCCGATTTTGCCACTACTGTCCTTTATGTAAGCTGTGATGCAATGTACCGTTTATTATTACTCAAGATTTATTGTTTATTATTATAATGACTATTATTATAAACTTGTCAGGGTTGTGTGGTGTCACCTTGGCTCAGTATGTTCATACAGTACTGTAGATGGTATATTGAAGAAGGCAAGGTAAAAAGATTAGATAAGAGGAGTTATCCTCCATAATCTGGGATCTTAAGTCCAGGATTAGGCAAGGTTTGTATTCTGGGATATTTTTGAATTGTTTTATACCCTGTTCTCATTACAGCACTGTGTTGTCATTGCATACCAAGTGCTTGTTGCACCATCCATTTTGTATCGAGCAATATGCAGCAAGCTGCCTTGAATTTTGTACGTTAAGGATGGATAAAAAAATTATACACAATTTTACTAATTCAGGCAAAAATAATACAGCAAGAAATAATGTGTGTATACCTGGTAGAGTGTATACAGACAATAGGTAGTGTTTCAATTTCTGTGTAGCAAGACTTTTCATAGAGTCCAGTTTAGTAGTTGTAGTAGGCATCCATCAGTCTCAGGAGACTATGGAGTTGCGCTCTGGTTGTCGGTCTGGAGTGGCCTCACCAGGGCGCAAAGCCAGGGTAGGTTGATTCGGGGGAGAAGCTGTTACCCAGGCAGCAGGTCCCCCCTCTCCACGGCGCTGAAAGTCTCCAATGGGAAGGCATATGCCAATACGATTGGTTCCAGCGCCGTCGCAGGAACTGTGAGTTCCGGGGTTGACCTCGAAGGTGGTGAAGAAGGGCACAGGGACCTCCAACCCCGGAGACCGCCGTGGGGTTGGATTTATTAATCTTTGGCGGCTTTGTTTCCAATTATTAAACAGTTAATGAGCTCCGAAGCACCAGGAGGCTGTTTATCCAGTTTACATGCAAATATATTCTCATTGTTAAAATTACACTGTTTCTAGTACTGTAAGAGCTCATTAATTCAAATTCCAGTAACCTATATCTTGGTCAATCTGAAGAAATTCGAGCTTGAGTTTTTGAGACAGATAAACTCGAGATTTCTGGTGAACGAAAACCCTGGATATTATAATTTTTATAAATAATTTTTTTTTTTTTTTTTTTTTGAAATTATAATTGTTTATTTTTTTTTTAAAGGGAAGAGAGTACCACCTCTGGCTGGAAGAAGGGGGACCCTTAGCCTCGGAGGAAACCACACATAACGCATTAGAGGGAATATTTGGGTCCCCTCCAATACAGTTTCTGTGTGCTTTTCTCCTACCACTCCCTTTGATTTTTTTTTGCTTTATTATATGTTTAAACTAAACAGCAAACTTACATATGTTCAAATTTGACTTGCTGGTGAATATCTTGGTTACATGTTATCCTGTACCCAAATATCACAACACCCCAATAAACTGGTCATAGTACGCGCAAAAAAGGTAATATACAAGGGGCACTAACTACAAATGGACTGTTCAAGATATTAGTGTTCAAGATAAAAATAAGATACTATCCTGCAACAAGTGCTGGACCAACTAGAGTGTAGTGGACACTACAAATATATTTTGTGGACTCTAAATATATGAACATTAATTGTGTTCATTACGTTAATCATCAAGCGGGGTGCGTCTCATCACACATACACAGACAGAACGGGTGCGACACTACCGAAGGTCATGCTTGTCACTTCGCTGCAAGGGATGTGCACCAAAACCATTGTTTCAAAATAGGCATTGCTCATGTGCCAAGGAAACCAGCGAGGTGTCAGTCCCTTTTGGCCAGCAGTGTCTTCCTGGAAGAAGCTGAAGTCGAGGGGAATCCATGGGAAGTACGAGGCTGCCTTGTGATGTCATCCAGGGACACCCCTTCGTCGCACTCGTCCGCTTCACTCTTAATCTCCATCTTCTGCAAAAGTCCCATTGTAAGGAAGGTTATTGTCTAGCTCTCAAACTGATAACTTTATACTATTCCTAAACATTCCACATTTCCTCTCTCGTTCAAATAACATGTGTTGCTATTTTGTCTCACATTAAAAAATGAATTTTACCTACTCATCAGGTATCTTACAAATCACTTTTCATCCTCTTATTTTCTCCAAGGTGGTTCCATGGTGCTAGCCGCTCTAAAAAGCTCCACCCACAATCACACCAGGGGGCCAGATTCACGAAAGCACTTACGAACCTGTACATCTTTTATTAATCTTTGGCGGCTTTGTTTCCAATTATTGAACAGTTAATGAGCTCCGAAGCACTAGGAGGCTGTTTATAACAATAACAACAGTTGAATGGGAAGTTTTCATGCTTGTAAACTATTCAATAAATGTAACCAAAGCCGTCAAAGATTGAGGAAAGATGTACTCGTTCGTAAGTGCTTTCGTGCCTTTGCAAGCCATTGATATCTTAACAGAGACCAGAGGCTCTGTTAAGATATTTTTTAATATCTGTTAAGATATATAGTTTTTTAAGACCTACTCCCCTTCAAAGGTTGAGATCCTAGGTCACTCAGGATATAGGAACCAGAAAGGTAATTTAGCAAATGAACTAGAGCAAGGCAAAAGTAAACAACAGAAAACGAGATGCCCAACAGTTAGGGAGTTTCACCTCACTACCAGGTGGCAGGACCTGGAGCTGGTGGCTCAGGTGGTAGACCACCTTCAGACACTTGCCTGGTGCTGGGAAGAGCAGTGTTCCAGTGGGTCGCCCTTGTCCATCGCGATCCGGATTTTTCAGGCAAGTTTAGTCATTCCTTGGACTGTCATATGAGGGAACTATTTGCTTGTGTATTTGACCATTCTTTTAGCATTAGCTTCACGCGCGTCTATTTTGCTGCTATTTTTATGCCTCATTTGTATGGATTCGGAGAATCTGTTCACCTCGTTGCCCCTGACAGGGTTTTCCTTAGAGTAGGGTTCCTCCCTTTTTTTCGTGCAAGATCTTTTGACTCTTTTTGGTTAGGGGCTGCACAGGGATTCACATGTTTATTTTTTGGCGTCACTACACACACTTTACAGCAGTGTTTGCTAGTTAGGCGTTTGTTTATATATGGATCCCTGGGAAGCGACCCCCCGTGCCTGGTGTTTCGACTGGTCTTTACCTTCGGGATCTGTAAGCCCGTTGTTGTCTTTGGTGGTGTTTGAGATGGACCAACCCACCTAACCCGCTCTCGCTGCGTACATATACAATGACGTACGTAATATGTTTGTGCAAATGACGTAATATGAATATACGTACATATACTTATATTATACAATGACGGCAAGATCTCAATTGCAGATAAGTATACAGAAAGTGCAGCTCTAGCTTACACCAGTAAAATCAACAAGGGATATGGGGAAAAAATATATAAATAAGGTATAATAATACTGCTTTAAAATATACAACTAATAGGTTATTCATCAAATACAAGTGTATATATAGATAATGCAGAGGAATCACAATAACGTGACTCACATTCAAGACACCGAAGCCACCACACACATGTGAAATAATAATAACACTGAAAGAAGTGAGTACCTGCATGATGAGCCTGAGGAGCTTAGTCTGCTGGTCGAGCGTTGCAGAGATGTCCCGGAGCCGCTTCCTTTGTCCCTCCAGCTCCTCCCACAGGTAGTCGTCCCTGCCCACGCTCTCTGTGCCCTCCATGTCTGCTCTCCCAGCCATGGCGTAGCAACAAGAGATTTGTTAGAATGTGATAGCGACGCTTAGAAGGAAATATTTCAAGATATTTTGTATTTTCTGAAGTATTGTGTTGTCAAAATATAAGACTAATCTTTCTCGTAGTAAATAAGTTCCGACGAAAACGGCAATCATCAATAATGAAATGAGATGTTCTGATTTTCTAATATTGTCATTATATATATATATATATATATATATATATATATATATATATATATATATATATATATATATATATATATATATATATACTGAAAACTCACACCCCAGAAGTGACTAACCCATATATATATGTATTAATATACGACCGGACATAAGGAAGTGATAGCCGAGGCTATATGAACCACTTCCCCGCCGGCATATGGTATATATATATATAAAACCTCACCTGATTTGATATATATATATATAGCCTCGGCTATCACTTCCTTATATATATATACCAGTATATATATATTTTCATATATAGTCCTGGGGATATAGGCTTGTTTGCATATATATATATATATATATATATATATATATATATATATATATATATATATATATATATATATATATATATATATATATATATATATATATATATATATATATATATATATATATATATATATATATATATATATATATATATATATATATATATATATATATATATATATATATATATATATATATATATATATATATATATATATATATATATATATATATATATATATATATATATATATATATATATATATATATATATATATATATATATATATATATATATATATATATATATATATATATATATATATATATATATATATATATATATATATATATATATATATATATATATATATATATATATATATATATATATATATATATATATATATATATTCACCAACTGATTTTTTAACCTTGCACAAACCCAACACTGACATCATTGCATGTACTAGCTCTATCTATAAAGCCGTTACACCTTGTATGAATAGTGGACCTTTTACAAAGTTTGTCTGGATTAATATTTGTCACTTGTTTCACATTTTGTCTCGGTAAGATTATTCCTATCGTGTCTAGCTTAGTATTGCTAGTCCTTAGGAACTCTACCGTAATTCCTGGTATACGAGTTGACTTAATTCTATGAGAATTGTGGAGGGGCCAAGCTGTGGCTCCCTGTTGCTAATCACACAGATAAAACTGCGAGCACACACGTCACACCGCCCTAGGAGTCCTTGATAGCATAGACCTCAACCTGTGCCCCCTCAGAGATGCAGACATATAACAGATGCAGGGAAGTCTGTTTTTAAATTAACCTCATCGAGTAAATAAACTCGAAGAAAGGAAGCGAAGTAAACCAAAACTGCAAGGGGTCATAGAAGGTAAATAAACAATGGAGCAAAGACTCTTCAAACAATCCACTCAGTAGTTAGGTCATACACCTCTCGAGTTAGAGCTGGCCGCAGCCAGATGGCAGCACCGCGGTAGGTACCGGCTCCCCATGCCAGCGGTTCTCAATTCTTTGCATGATGTCGGACACGTCTGACCTGTTCCTTGAGTTGTCACCCCCTTCAAGTCCCAGATATTCTAGGTATGTATTCGTCATACTCTGAACTCTCTTGTTGGGGGAACCATTTGGTTGTGTATTGTTTAAATTTTTCGTATTTGCTTCGCACGCGTGTGTTTACAAGCCTCGCTTGTTGTATGGACTTGGGGAAACTGTTTATCTGGAGCTACATGTGTGTAGGACTGCTCTTCGCTTGGCGCTCGCAGGTTCCGCCCTAACACTGACCAACCCATCTTCCCTAAAATGATAATACTTAACTATTTAGTACAAAGTATCAGTATGTTGTAATAGATCAACTGAAGTTCAATGTTTTGGTTATTTTTAATTTTATTAGGCTAGAAAAATAAAGCTAAAACCTGAACATGAACTTTCCTCGGCCTAGTATAGCATATATTGTACTATATTAAACCTAAGTGTGTATTAGGCCTAGGGTTGCTAGAGGAGGTAAGGTTAAGTTTGGTTCTATATTTGTTGCGGTTAAAAAGTTTACCAATTCGCTAAATTTAGTAATACAAAACGACAACTTTTATCTATTGCCATTTGTCTGTGGCTAAGCTCCTAGTTTTCCACCTGCGTCTTTCGTCATGGCAGAAATAAAGTATGTTTCCTGTCACTCTTTTTTTGTCTCTGTCGCTTGTTTCGGGTTTGCTGGTATTGTCTCTTCTGGACGTTTGTGACTAATACTGTCGCCTCTTATGGCCTTGGCTGAGCCACTTTTGTTGGGTTTGCTCGGCTCGGCGCTGTTTGGCGAGTTGTCTTGCGCGTCTTTAAACCTGACTTGCGCATTCTTCAGTCTTCTTGATCACCGGACACGATGTCCATTTTTCTTTTATCTTGGTTCTCGGTCGCCCCTTCAGTTTGTGATTTCTTTTCCAAGGCTTTGTTTTTGTTGGTTCTGGCTTCCGATTGTAAGGTTGGGGAACTTCATGGTTTCTAATGCAAACGGGGGTTTCTTTTTCGGCCTTGGTGGGCGATTTTTTTATTTGTTGTCCTTTGGTTGTCTATTCTTGGTTTGGTCGGCTGAAGGTAATTATTGGGTACTGTGGCAGCTGTTCGTTTGTACCTGCGCGGAACCCAGGCTGCTACGGGAGTGTGCTTCATTTGTTGATCCAATCCGATTGGTCCCCCTGTTCAAACGCTCGTTTGTCTGGGATAGTCCGCAATGTGAAGTCTAGCTAGCGTGCTGTCTACCCTCGCGCTAATGATGTTTAGAAGTTTGCGTTTTCTTGTTTTTCTTGTATCTAGGGTTGATATCAGGGTTTTTAAGGTTTAACATGGTCCTAACGGCTCGTTATCAAAGTCAATGTTCTTTGTTACCGTTGGCTTGTCTTGCCTTGAATAAGGTTTCCCATACTGGTTTTCCCTTCGAAAGTTCGAGCACAGCTCTCCTCCCCTGGCGAGTCCTGTTCTGCTGCTTTCGATGATTAGCAACAGTGAGCCACCGTTCGGATCCTCCAGAAAATTATTTAATTTCCTATAGAAAGAGGTATTTAATTTTTTTTTTTTTAAAGGATCCAGGTGCATGGGTTGGTCTTGGCTCCGGACTTGTTGTCATGGAGACTCAGCAGCTCTGGTGGTGCTACCACCTGGCGGCGGCCAGTTGTAACTGCTGGGTGGATAGTTCACTACCTGCTAACCTTGCCGTTGTCAATCTTTCTGGTAACTTATCAAAAGTTTTACAGAAGTCTATGTACTTTAAATCTGCTGGAAGTCTTCTCTACATCTTTTACTACAGCTGCCTGTGTTAGTTGGTTATCGTTTACAAAGAAGTGAGCAGGTTAGGAAGGCAGGATTTATTTCATGGAAAAAATAAAATTATGATGCTTTACAAGGTTATGCTCTGTGAGATGGGGTGACGCGTTCCTTTAGGATTCCTTCCCCATCTTGGAGATAAGGGTGACAATTGCATCTTGCACGCTTTCCCTAGCACGAGCCATCAATTGCTTTATGCCCTAGTTCCCAGTGACTGCTGGATGCCCGGGGGCGAGTGGTAAAGGAACAGTGCCAGTCGTGCCAACCTGCCAGAGTTCGAACACCGGTCTTTCACGCTAGCGAGCTAAACAGGTGAAAGTGCAAACTAAGGTACAGTCGTCTCTCTAAATTTAAGCCGAGTCACACGGTTCTTTGTCCTTCAGCCAACAAATAACAGACTTTGGGGATAAGAATGTAATAGGTATTTGAATTAACAACAAAGGAAGGAATGTGATCTACGTGTAAGATGAGGAATATAAACTACAAAGGGAGCATACTTATAACATTAGGGTTCATTAGATACTACGCGCAGGAATATCCCTGCAAAAAAAAAAAAAAAATTAGATACTAAATATACATAAATGTATGGGTCTTGTAGTACAGTGGTCTAGTCTCTCCTATGTTCTCTTAGTATGTTCCCGGGAATTAGGCAACTGTTGTGGGTTGCGTTTTGAGGAAGGTCAGTAGATGAACAGCGAAGGGGGGATGGGGATCCTAGATATAAGTAAAGGCTTCTGGTCTCATAATAAATGGTTTGCACAAATGTCTTCACTCTTGGGGCATCTTTCCAGATGCCTTGGTGGCGGAAGACCAGGGAGGGGAGGGTACCCACCTGCATATCCCTTGTCACTCATGGGACAGGCGAAGTTGAAGGCACTGAGGATGCGGTGCAGGATACGTGTCCCGCCGCAGTAGTTGGGATAGACGAGCAACTCCGACTTGTTCACCCGCTGGATCAGTACCTCGGGCAGCTTGTTCTCCAGCTCCGTGTGCAGCTCCACCTGAACACCGCTGGTCAGTGAATGCATGACAACACAAACACTAGAGCACATGCACTCATTCTTGTAAACACATACTTTTGTATGCACCCTCACATGTGTAGATACACATGTATAAACACGCATGCACACTGTTGATGTATATGTTAATAAACATTGCGGCTAGAGAATGTGTGAGAAAGAGAGCAACTTGGTCTCACCTGCATGGCGATTCTCTTGAGCTGGGCGTTCTTCTTCACGCTCTCGATGTCCCCGACGGCCAGACCGATCAGCAGGTTCATGAGCAGGATGGGCATGAGGATCATGAACAACACCAGCAGAACTGTTCACGCCCCGGTCACCAGGATAGGGTTAAGGGCAGGGTCAAGGGAGAGGGGGTAGAGGCAAATTATTCAGGGGTGAGTGGAGGGAAGGGCGTCATTAGGGGAGAGGTGGAAAAGGAGAGGTGACGGTCATCAAGGGATTAAAAGGGGGTTGGAGGAAGAGTACAAAATGAAGCATTAGTGGACGAGAATAACTACAAGATATCATAAACATTAACCAACAGTGCAGGACCAAAGGGATCCTCAACATTCACATACTCTCATCGGTAATATTCTCAATAGAACAATACAGATAATAAGTTATAATGTGCGAACACAGTTGTAAGGAAAGCACAGACCCATAAAACGTAATGTGTAACTCTTGATATTTCAATCATTTCAATTACAAATTCAACAAGACAACAAAAGTCGTAGAGTTTATGATCACAAAATGACGTAAAAGTTTATTATCATAAGCAGCCACCTGAAAGGCATATTTAATAAGAAAAAGTATGATAAATTGATACACTGAAATCACACTAGCGTGATATATCAAACAAACAAATCCACAAGGGCCGTGATGAGGGTTGCAATTCTTTTAACAATGTCGTGGCTCAGTTGAATAAGGCGCGTCTGGGATCATCATCCCGGGCGTAGGTTCGAACCCTCATCACAGCCCTTGTGGATGTGTTCCTATGATAAACTGAGTTTGTACGGAGCCAGGAGAGTGGGACTGACTGAAGGTAGTGCGAGGGAAGAGGAGCCGGTCTCCTCTGACGCTCTCTTGGTAGAACGGGTAGACGAAGATGGTGAGGAAGTCTACCTCCCCCAGCATCATGGAGAAGGTGTGCAGCATGGACATGGCCACGTTGGAGAAGGAGAGGTAGCCACCCTGAGGACACAGTACAGGGATTAGAAAACGGGGAATAACAGATGAAGCGCGCGTGCACCCTTCCCTCCCTACACACACACACACACACACACACACTGCGTGACTTGAGCGAGACATGATGTAGAAGAGATGTGGGACTTACGTGAGACATGAGGATGTAGAAAGCGAGGCCGAAGGCGACGATGAGGACAGAGAAGACGAGCAGAACCTTCAACAGCGTGTTGAGGATCTCTAGGAACATCACTATGTATATCCCGATCCGGTCGAACCTGCGGCATGGAGGAGGACCCGTGGTTATTGATGGTGGTGACTGATGGTGGTTATTGATGGTGGTGACTGATGGTGGTTATTGATGGTGGTTATTGATGGTGGTGACTGATGGTGGTTATTGATGGTGGTGACTGATGGTGGTGACTGATAGTGGGGGGGGGGAAGTCTAGTGGTGACTGAATGGGGGAGTGGGTGAATGATGAGAGGGGGGGGGGGTGCTAGTGGTGACTATGCATGGATATTTCTGCGCGGGGCCCCATACTCTCTGGTTGGTCCACTGTGTTATTAATGTCAGCCTTACTTAGGAGGTGGACGAGTGTTTAAGACTCGTATGTTGGCTTCAGTAAGGTTATGTCGAATGTGTTTAATAGTTCATTATGCCGGGGGACAGGCAGCCAGTGTGTATTTATATCGAGGTCCCCTCTTCCCCAATCCAAGGTGGAACTACTGACCATCCCTCAGGATTCAAACCCACAACAAGCTAACTATCTCCTGGGTTAGAGACGCAGAAGTCACGGATGAAATAATGTGCCTCTTTAGTGTGAGAATAGTGAATAGGTGATATAAGTTAGTTGCAAAAGTAGTTGAGGTAAGCTATTCGTAGATTCAATAACATGTATACAAACAAGAATGTCTAGTCAGTGCATTTGGTGGCCGACAACAGAGAAGGAGGGGTTTAAGAATGAATTATCAGGGGGAAAGCGCCAAGCCATTACGACTATATAGCACTTGAAAGGGTCAGGATGAGGATTTGGGATGGGACGGGGGGAAGGAATGGTGTCCAACCACTTGGACGGTCGGGGATTAAACGCCGACCTGCATGAAGCGAGACCGTCGTTCTACCGTCCAGTGAACTACTGCTCGACCTTGAGGTCAATGTTCGGTTGGTGTGTACCATCACAAACCTCTGGAAGTAGAGCAGGAGGGTGAACCAGGCGGTGAAGACGGCGAGAGAGGCAGAGTTGAACTGCTGGGCCCTCCAGCCTGTGCCCAGGAACACCGGCAGCACCATGCACACGGAGGTCAGGTACAGCGTCCACTCCACCACGTTGATCGGCTCCAGCAGGTACTGGAACCACGTGAAGGGCGCATGTAAACAGACGTGGGGTCACGAGGCGAAATAGTGTGATCAGGGAAATAGAATGAAATTAACTGGAAAAAACCGCTAAGCCAGTAAGACACAAACTTTCATCGGGTCCCTCTAAGGTCGAACTACTGACCTTTCCCAGGATTCAACTCTATAACATTTAACTCCCGGGTACCTATGTACTAGTAGTGAACAGAGACATTACAGAAATGTAAATGTGCCCAACCATTTCTGTTCCAGCCTGGATTCGAACCCTGGATTCCCGACTATGAGTAGAGAAATATCACGACAGTCCCACCGAGCATTCAGGGAGAGCACATTAATTTCACAATGAAGTGAAATTATGGTTTATCAGGACACCAGGTGTCGCAAACAGATATGATTGAGTGCTGAATTGGAGATCAGTTAATAAGACAATGAGAGGTATATGGTACATACCTTGAGGCGGTGGTGGTAGAACTGAATCATCTCCTTGATCATGCTGAGGCCGGAGAGTACCAGGATGGCTACTCCCATGCAGTACATCCACCCCGTGTTCTCTGTCACCTGTCACAACCACAACACCCAACACTTAAGCTAGGCTACTCGCCCTACACATCCTCGGCTATAAGAGTTCCTTATTTCATTGTTTCAATAATTTTGGATTTGTTTGAAGTTCACTTTTTGTTCCCTCCCACCTCCCATCCCAGAGACCTCATGTGTCACCCCATCCAACACACGCACCTCGTACACATAACGATCAAAGTCGTCGGTGGTGTTATTGTAGTCGAAGTGGTGGGAAGCGTTGACGTAGGCGGAGACGGCGCTGTTGTTGCCGAGGATCCCGACGGCGAAGACGGTGACCAGGAAGAGGAACACCAGGTAGACGAACAGGTTGGACAAGTGGATGTACTTGCCGTAGGCCTGCCACTTCATCTCCAGGAAGGTCTGCGTCAGCGGGTGCATCAATAAGTCGACTCGGCCGCTTTCCACCATGGCCTGAAGGGACCAAGGGATAGAATGAGGCTCGGGGATGGATAGCGACCGTGTTTTCAGTGTTTAACCCTTTTAGTCCCTCGATCTAATGGGCAAGGGGGGAGGAGTAGGAATGGTTCCAAATGGACGAGATGATAAAGAAAGGGAAAATGTGTTATATGGACAAAATGAATAACGACAAAAAAGGAGAGAGAAGAGGTGAAATAAAAAAAGGAAAGGGACAACGAAAATAAGAAGTTAAAATGGGAGTAGGCGAAAAAAAAAGATTGGAAGGGTGAGACCTTGGCCTGAATATGGGAGGAGTGGCAGTGGGAGATCATCAGTGTTACACTGATGCTGCTACAGACATAACCTGGCTTGGTACCATCTTTTTGATAATTATTTGCTATCACTTATAATGTGATAGCAAACACTTCACTGCTACACTATAGTTTTACAAGTATTTTTCATTCTTCAGTGCTCATTCATATACCCATGTGGAGTATTATTGACAATCCAACATGCATTAAACATTGTATTATACTGCATAACACAACAGTAAACTGTATCATCATGCATCTTAGAATGCAAGCCTCCACGGTAGAACTGTCGTACATTACAGGCGTAGAGAGGCTGAGGCCGGAACTTGGGGTTCTTGAGCTTGATCCTCTCGGACTGCAGCTGTTCCTCGTTCAGTTGAAGAGGGTCGAAGCAGTACCGTACCTGTCGGGGGGAAGAGATCAGACTTCAGTGGGATGCGTCTCTCGTGTGGGGAGTGAGGGAGGCTGAACTATGAATATACAACAAACAAGAAGTCTTATTCTATTTATGATCTAGAAAGTGTTTCACTGGACGAGGAGATAAGAGCACCGGACGAAAGGACTGAGAAAGAACAATGAATAAATTATTCTTGAACTATACATAATGTATACAACGTCACATATCTGAATGTACTGCAGTAGACTTTCCAGGACTTCCCGGGACACTCTGTCCCTTCTTAATCTTTAAAGAAGCAAAGAATCTGTTCTAAATTTAGAAATATAATATTAAACTTTCTCTTGCAATGGAAGTTTGCCCATCCACTTGAACTGGCCGGTACTATGGCGGCCCTCACTTCTTGACGGGATGCCGTTCGACCCCCGATGGTCTAAGTGGATGGGCACCATTCCTTCCTCCGTCCTAGTGTCCCAGCTCCCTGACCTCGTATCCCTTCAAAGTGCTACATAGTCGTAATGGCTTTAAAATTCTCTCCTTTAACTCTCCTGGACCTGACCCTCCCCTCTCCCTGCGAACTTACATAGAAATCCTTGGATGTCTCCTTAACGCTGGCCCTGGATATGGCCTGGTCCATGACGGCCTGGAAGACCTTGGGCAGCGTCCTGATGAGCGCCATACACACACACCCGTTCAGGCTACTCGAAGTCGATATCACCTCCGACGGGCTGACGGTGGTCACGCAGGAGGAGGAACAATATTAAAATGTCTTAAGCATAGACGTCTCATTATCACAAACATCGATCTCGGTTGTGGTAGCTTACAACAAAGTACAGAATATATAAATAATGTGATCATCTACACACTTAACTTTACGAATAGTGTCTGGGTTTTGCGCTGATGGAAGTATGAATGTTTGTGAGTGGGCTTTGTTTTGTATGGCTGGGTGACGTGCTGTGCTAGATTGGTCTTGCACATTTTGAAACCTTTGCTCTCTCCTGTTCTCATTTCTATCGCTGTCTATTTTTTGCATCTTTGTGTAGCTCCAACTGTCCACATTCCTCTCTCACCCTGTGTGTCTAACCTCTCACGCACTCTGCATCACTCTTCTCGTTCATAAAATGTTCACTTATTCATTTGGTTAAATTGTTGCTATCTTGTCCTTGCTCTCATCTTACCCTCTAGGATGGGTCACAAGCGCGTGGGCAGCCTCAGAGAGCCTGCAGTGGATGGCGTAGTCGATGGGCTTGTATTTGTGGTTATTTTCCAGGAGCTTGCAGTTGAGGGTCATGAGTTGGCTCACCACCTCTGCCTTGTTTGCCCTGACAGCAGCGTGCAGAGGAGTGTTCTGTGAGAGAAAGGGGAAGAGTGCGCGTGGTCAAGATCGCCTCGATCAGGGTAGCTATTCAGACTGCTTTACTCCCTGCAACCACCCTCTTTGCCACGTAATCCAGGGGCCAGATTCACGAAGCAGTTACGCAAGTACTTACGAATGTATACATCTTTCCTTAACCTTTGGTGGCTTTGGTTTCATTTTTTAAACAGTTTACAAGCATGAAAACTTGCCAATCAACTGTTGTTATTGTTATAAACAGCCTCCTGGTGCTTCGGAGCTCATAAACTGTTTAATAATTGTAAACAAAGCCGCCAAAAATTGAGAAAAGATGTTAAGGTTCGTAAGTGTTTGCATAACTTCTTCGTGAATCTAGCCCCAGGCTCCTATTCTGTAGCCCCCGACCCGGGGAACCCTCAGCTGACAGTAGTCCTCGGCCCAATTTGCTACACTCACCCCATCCTTGTCGGTTTGGTCGAGGGTATGGCTGTGGACGGCGAGGATGGCACTGATGGTTTGCTGATGTCCCCCCACGGCGGCCAGGTGTAGGGGCGTCCTCCCCTGGTGATCCCTGTGAAGCAGCGCCCCCTTTCTGATCAGCAACTGCACCACGCGCGTGTGACCTGCGGAGTTTGCGAAGGGAAGGGAACTATGCTGGAGTTGTTGTTGTTTTAGATTCAGCTACTCTGAGCAAAAGTGACAAGTAGCACAGGCTATGGTGAGCTCTTAGTGGATTTACCTGGCACAGGAGCGAGGGTATGCTGGAGTAAGGAAGAGTGGTTTAATTGTGAGGTGAGAGGGACAGAGTAAGAGGATGGGACAAAGGGTGTGTGTTGAATTAAGGGAGAGCAGAGATACTTAAGTGACTTTGGGAGGGTGAGTTTGTAATGACCTTCTTGGTCTGTAGACATGCATCACTGGCTAACAACCATCCGGACTGCTCACGAATCTCGCCTTAGACATTAGGGCCTTACTAGACCGACGCAACATTACCATAAATCGCCCTTCTTACCTAGTGTGTTCATTCTGGTGAAGGTGTTGGAACTGACATAATGTGAGAACAGTGTTGGTGAAAATTCAAGAGCAATAATGAATGGTGTTAACGACATTAAAGTGACTATTAGTGAGGATAGTGACCGAGAACGGTGCAAGCCACGACCAATAAGGATATTCTGAACGGTGAATTAGAAAAGTAGACATAAAACAACTTCGCATCGTTGACTCGTACTTGAAGTACGCACAATCAGTTAATCACAGAACGATATTTTCAGTGTGTCCCAAAACACTAACAAATTGGTAAGGACGTAATGAAAAGTCTCAAATGATATTGGTAACTAGTAGTAGGCATCCGTCAGTCTCAGGAGTAAAGTAATTACCATTAAGGAAGCCAAACAACAAGGGACTAACTGAGGTGTTGTCTAGATTTCAAATCTTTAGATCTCTAGCGAAATCTCTCGAGGTAATCGCGACTATATGGCAGTATTACTGTCACATCATGAGTAATGATAGGTATTACGTGTTGGTGGTTGCCCACAACCAGGGGGTTCTTAGGGGAGCGGGGACACTGTGATCAAATGAAACTCAGAGGGCAGTGGCGTAACCGAGCGTAAACATGTTCTTTGGTATTAATTTGTCGACACCTAAATTCGTGGTAGGGGTTCGAGAACAGCTTGGCGGTTTGGAAGAGGAAGCGAACAGGGGAAGCAGATTAAGAACCACACAGAGAGAGACTTGTGGAATGACGAGCTATTGTTGGAGTCGCGGCCATTATATAGATCATTGTGGCCACGTAATCCTCAACATAATGGGAGGTGAAATATTCGACAACCACGGCGGGCTATTTATCCTGTGCTACACTTCCCCCATTACATGACACGACTCTATTAAATTCCTTCATATACGTGTCTAAGTCGCTTTCGTTGTGTGGGCGCAGTCCGTTCTCTTGATTTGCCACAACGTACAAAATATTGGGTACTAAAGTACACGAATCCAACTTCCCTCCACTCTCAACCAACCAACGCATAGAAAATGTGAATATTTGTGGCTGCGACGATTCATAATACCATTTATTTTATACAATGGGGATCATAGCGTACACAATGAGACGTATTAGTTGAGCACAAGCGAGGTATGAACTAAGGGCCAGATTGATTGATTGATTGATTGATGAAGATTAAGCCACCCAAAAGGTGGCACGGGCATGAATAGCCCGTAAGTGGTGGCCCTTTTGAGCCATTACCAGTATCAAGAGCTGATACTGGAGCCCTGTGGAGGTGCGACTGCACCCTGCGTGACGGGAGATGTCTCCCGTCGTAAGGGCCAGAGGTGTGTGTGTGTGTGTGTGTGTATACCTTCCTCGCTAGCGATGTGAAGGGCCGTCTTCCCTTCGTCGTTACACTCGTTAAGGATGAGGAACCCGCTGGAGGACTCGACCAGTTGGCGGACGGTGTTGTACCTGCCGTACCTGTCGGGGGGTTAGAAGCGGCGTTGTTATTGATCTTGTGTTAATACTGGTTATATGGTTACTATAATAGTTACCATAACCGACATAACCTATAATCGTTACCGATAACCAGAGCGCAACTCCATAGTCTCCTGAGACTGATGGATGCCTACTACTAATAGTTTTGAATGAATACTTTGTCTTTAAATATTTTTAGAATTATTTAGACGTTATAGTGTCATCACCTTTCCTTGACACCTTCGCCAAACACTAATCCCTATCCTTATTGTCATTAGAGAAACTAGCATTATCATAACCAGTGACCATCATTCAACTACCCCTCATAACTACCACAACCACCAGTCATCACATCACAACCATCAGCACCGACCACCATTCTCACCTTCACCACCAGTATCACCCCCACCATCATTTAGTACCACCAAAAGACATGGGTTAAACATACTTGGCGGCGAAGTGAAGGGGAGACTCGTTCCGGTTGTCTTTCGTCCTGACGGAGGCTCCCAGGCGGAGGAGCGAGGCCAGGGAGCTGACGTGCCCCGTTCTGGAAGCGTAGTGCAGGGGAGACCAGCCCAGAGAGTCCTGCTCGTTCAGCATGATGCTAATACGGGACTTCCACTGTTTGGGAGAGAGACGCCAGACTTGAAACACGGCTCGTAAGGTGTTGAATCGACTTGAGAATGGTCCAGGACGGACCGAAACGTCGTTGTCCCTTCATTTAATAGTGTGTGTGGATTGGTCAACGGCTCGTAAGGTGTTTTGTTCCAGGAGGTTTGTTAGTCTGTTGGTGGAGGACTTTGTGTTGGTGAACGTTTGTTGGCGGAAGACTTGTGTTAGTGAATGTTTACTTGGGCCCCCGGTGTGAGGAAGGAAGGCCCCCCCCCCAGTGTGAGGAAGGAAGGCCCCCCCCCAATGTGAGGAGGGAAGGACCCCGGTGTGAGGAAGGAAGGGGGCCCCTGGTGTGAGGAGGGAGGGCCCCGGTGTGTGGAGGGGAAGGGCCCCGGTGTGTGGAGGGGAAGGGCCCCGGTGTGAGGAAGGAAGGGCTCCAGTGTGAGGAAGGAAGGGCTCCAGTGTGAGGAAGGAAGGGCTCCAGTGTGAGGAAGGAAGGGCTCCAGTGTGAGGAAGGAAGGGCTCCAGTGTGAGGAAGGAAGGGCTCCAGTGTGAGGAAGGAAGGGCTCCAGTGTGAGGAAGGAAGGGCTCCAGTGAGAGGAAGGAAGGGCTCCAGTGAGAGGAAGGACGGGCCCCAGTGTGAGGAAGGAAGGGCTCCAGTGTGAGGAAGGAAGGGCTCCAGTGTGAGGAAGGAAGGGCTCCAGTGTGAGGAAGGAAGGGCTCCAGTGTGAGGAAGGAAGGGCTCCAGTGTGAGGAAGGAAGGGCTCCAGTGAGAGGAAGGAAGGGCTCCAGTGAGAGGAAGGAAGGGCTCCAGTGTGAGGAAGGAAGGGCTCCAGTGTGAGGAAGGAAGGGCTCCAGTGTGAGGAAGGAAGGGCTCCAGTGAGAGGAAGGAAGGGCTCCAGTGAGAGGAAGGAAGGGCTCCAGTGTGAGGAAGGAAGGGCTCCAGTGTGAGGAAGGAAGGGCTCCAGTGTGAGGAAGGAAGGGCTCCAGTGAGAGGAAGGAAGGGCTCCAGTGAGAGGAAGGAAGGGCTCCAGTGTGAGGAAGGAAGGGCTCCAGTGTGAGGAAGGAAGGGCTCCAGTGTGAGGAAGGAAGGGCTCCAGTGAGAGGAAGGAAGGGCTCCAGTGTGAGGAAGGAAGGGCTCCAGTGTGAGGAAGGAAGGGCTCCAGTGTGAGGAAGGAAGGGCTCCAGTGTGAGGAAGGAAGGGCTCCAGTGTGAGGAAGGAAGGGCTCCAGTGTGAGGAAGGAAGGGCTCCAGTGTGAGGAAGGAAGGGCTCCAGTGTGAGGAAGGAAGGGCTCCAGTGTGAGGAAGGAAGGGCTCCAGTGTGAGGAAGGAAGGGCTCCAGTGAGAGGAAGGAAGGGCTCCAGTGAGAGGAAGGAAGGGCTCCAGTGAGAGGAAGGAAGGGCTCCAGTGAGAGGAAGGAAGGGCTCCAGTGTGAGGAAGGAAGGGCTCCAGTGTGAGGAAGGAAGGGCTCCAGTGTGAGGAAGGAAGGGCTCCAGTGTGAGGAAGGAAGGGCTCCAGTGTGAGGAAGGGCTCCAATGTGAGGAAGGAAGGGCTCCAGTGTGAGGAAGGAAGGGCTCCAGTGTGAGGAAGGAAAGGCTCCAATGTGAGGAAGGAAGGGCTCCAGTGTGAGGAAGGGCTCCAATGTGAGGAAGGAAGGGCTCCAGTGTGAGGAAGGGCTCCAATGTGAGGAAGGAAGGGCTCCAGTGAGAGGAAGGACGGGCCCCAGCGTGAGCCTGGGCCGTAGCTCACCCAGGCATCCTTGGCGTGCTTGAGGGTGAGGAGTTCGCTGACTGAGCCGCCGTTCATGATCACGACGTGAAGAAGATTCTTGTCGGTGACGTCCCTGATGGCGGGGTCTGCGCTGAGGGTCAGGAGCATGTCCACGCTGCGCCAACAGCCGTGCGCAGCCGCCAGCAGCAGCGGTGAACGGTGCTCAAGGTCCACCTGGTCTACGTCGGCACCCTGGCACGGCATGGAGACGAGGCGTTTAGGGTTGGTCAATGATCCGGTGGAGAGACGAGAGAAGAACAACCAGATTAGTAGGTTAAGAAGAGTTGAGATGTCACAGACAGCGACTAAACTATACACACAGAAATCACACTAACGTGTATAATATATATATAATATATATATATATATATATATATATATATATATATATATATATATATATATATATATATATATATATATAATATATAATATAATAGGTGAGTGTTACCTCCTGAATCAGGTAGCGAACAAGCTGCGGGTGGTCGAACATAGCGGCACAGTGCAGTGGACTCATCCCTTGGGCGTCTTGTGTAGTCAGAGCTTTCATCTTCTACACGGCCCGAGGCACGAACACCGGGATTAAACGAGGAAGAATCACGTCAGAGCAATATATATATGCGAGAAACCTTCCCCATCCAACATTTCCAAAAGGAAGCCATCTATTTATTTTTATTTTCAACCCATTTTAGTGTTAATAATTCTCCTCCCTTGTACAAAGAGCCCTGCTGGCCGACTGACCTCTTCGGGCTGGAGTGTAAACATGAGCTTGACTATGTCGCAGGAGCCCTGGGCGCAGGCCAGGTGGACGGGCGTGGAGCGGTCGTCCTGCTGGGTGGAGATTAGGGCTCCGCTCTTCAGGCACATCTCCACAGCCTGCAGGGTCACGTACATCATGTTAGCGCCGCATGGTCACACAAGGGGCGATGTAAACATTGCTCACTTGGTTCTTAAACAGCTCCTCTTTACTGAAATCCCGCCTGTTACTATTTATTAGGTTTTGATTTCAAGATTCTAAATTTGCCTCGTCTCTTTTTCTCTCCATCACGCACCCAACCTCCTGACGCCTCTCCTCTCACCCATTCAACAATTAGTGTTCCTATTTCACCTACCTTTCTAACTTTCCCTTCCATTTCCACCTTGATCTCCCCCTCCCTCCCAGCTCCTACCTTGATCTCCCCTCCGTGGACGGCCAGGTGGAGGGGCACATTTCCCTCCAAGTCTGGGATGGTGATCATCCTCTTCCTGACACAGCCGCGGCTCTCAGCGTAGTTGAGCAGAGCCTCGAGGACGCCGATGGATGCGTTGCGGGCGGCGAGGTGGATGGGGTGGTAGCCGTTGTTGCAGGGCTGGTTGGGGCACTTTTTGAACCCCGGACTGTTCAGCTGTAATGGGGGCAAGACGTTAGAAGGGGGAGGGTCACATTGGCATGTTTGTGGGTGAGAGAGGTCTAGGGGGAGGGATTTAAGACGAGGGAAGCAAGTGAATTAAAGGAGAGGAAGGAAGAACTCGTTGTAGGGAGGTGGGAGAACTAGGAGACACGGAAACTAGTGGTAGGGAGGTGGGAGAACTAGAGAAGGGAAGCAAGGTCAAACGGGATTGAGGGATTTTGTTTTTCTTGGAAATATCTTTCGTTAATTATATTTTTGTGCATTGGGGTTTGTTATTGTTAATTTATAGTAAATGAAATAATGTGTGTGGTGATTATTTTGTCAATTGATTTTTAGCAACTTTCCACACATATATATTCATACGCCATAGATTATATGTATTCTTGTGTTCGTGTTTTAAAATATGCAGCTGCCATTCCGTACAGTGACTTGGTCTTGCAAGGCAGCGGTCCGAACGCATATTCCAGCAGTTTTGAAGGTTATGCCTCACATGTTGTTTAATGACTAGAGCCCATTAATTTTTCCAGTTTGTCGGCCTATTTTTGTAATGTTACTATATGCCTCCCTGGTTCCTACATGTTCAGTTTCCCTCTTAAAGCACAACATTAATGAATGCTAAAAGTAGAATATTTTTATTTAGTGAGCATTTTGCATTCTTTACTTAAAAAATAAGTTTTACTTAAATTGTACAATATAATTTTTACGTTTATATTGCAGGGATTTAATTTTAATACTTATTTCACCACTCGTATCTCCTGTAAGGATATTTTTATATTAATTATTTTGAAAGATGGCAGAAGAATTGGACAAGACGGAGGGGGGGTGGGATGAAGGATACATGAAGATGGCTCTAAGGACGACATAATCAGGATGTAAGACATGTGATGGACAAAAGGCCTTCTTTGCACTCTATGACTAATTTTTCCTTTTTTTGCATCTTGTATTCTATGACACACAGATTAGGCCAAGAGATGCGAGTGACAAAAATTCTTTTCTTTGCAACAGATGTCCGGAAAGGTGAACATGTTTCGTGGAAGAACCCACCTCGATCACCCCTGTTTGACCTTCTAAACAGGTAAGTTATTAAGCTACACTATGTGGCTCACTGGGTAGTTGACTCATCTGCCCGAAACGCTTTGCACTGCCCGAAACGCTTTGCGTAATAGTGGCTTTAGGCATTGTATGTACTAGCTCTATCTATAAAGCCAACAAACTTTGTAAAATCTCTTTATGTATGTACCTTTACCTAAATAAAAATTATTATTATTATTATTATTTCACCTTAGTGACATTTCAGGTAACTCTTTTTTTTTAACATCGTAGGTAAGCGTCTACTTCTATGAATGGATCATCAAACAGTTAACTCACTTCTACATGATTGATCTATCAGTGTATTAGCTTCGTACCTAACTCAAGTAACTAACTTAAAAGGTTCTTCACTGACTCTCAAGATAGTTAAGCAGCTTTAATCTTGCTTGACTACTATGGTTCTTGGAATAATTGCTCAGCTGTTGTACCAACCAGACACTTGTTAGCCCTTCATGGCACTGGAGTGAATGTTCGGTTATCAGAGCTGCTTACCGGTCATTTCGGCTCCTTGCCTGTCCCTGAACGACTCGCCGGGCAACTGAAAGATTCACTGGGGCACCCAAATGGCTCACTGCTGCACCCAAATGACTTACCGGGGCACCTGACTCCTGAGCGACTCTTGGTTAATGACTCGCCGGGGATGGGGGAGTACTTGGGTTACTGGGCACATCATTGACTCACCAGGGCACCTGAGCGACTCGCCTGACAATCGAGCAACTCACCAGGCACTTGGCACAGGCCTCGTAGTCATATTTGGCGGCAATGTGGAGAGCGGTGCTGCCGTTACAGTCCTTCTGGTACAGGTCCACCAGGCCTTCGCGGCCCACCAACCTCTTCAGCGACCCGACCTAGTTCGCCAACACCAGCGGCAGGAGGAGAGGTAGAGAGGAGCAGGAGCAGGGAAGGGAAAAGTAGCGGAGCAGGAGGCGTATAAGAAAGAAGGAAAGGCAGGCAGAGGAGCCGAAGACATGGGAGAGGGAAGGGGCAGGTAGAGAGACGGGAAAATATTCAGAAGAAAAGGAAAGCAGAGGGGTGGGAAGCGTGTAAAGAAAAAGAGAGGGGCAAGCAGTGGAGCAAGAAGGAAGAGGAGAAAGTTAGTCAGAAGAGCAAGAGATGTAAGAGAATGGGGCCAAAGAGATAGCGAGAATAAGGAGAAAGAGGGCAAGGAAGAAGCAAAGTGGAGAGAGAGATGCAACAATGGTGTGGCGTTGAGGAAAAAAATATGGTCAAATTAGCGTGCAATTAATATTTTATCTTAATTATAATATGTTGTATTTCAGTGTTATGTTTTAAATTTGCGATATTTATCATGCTCGTCCACAATTACACAGCTGTGATAGTTCTTCCAAGCATTTGGTTGTCTTCTAACGACTATATATACAAATAACTGACGTTAGGCTTCAATATTTCCTCACATATATATTCAATGTGTGTTGTTTTCTGTACTTACAGCTATTGTGGTCAGTTAGTCACTTGGAGCCCCCCTCTCCACACCAGGGTTTAGCCTACCACTGCACATTGATGTATATTTGATTTATATACAGGAAGGTACATTGGGTTGTGAGAATACATAACATTGGTGTTCCTATATTCTTGTAAAGCCACTAATACACGTAGCGTTTCGGTAAAAAAAGACGCGCACATTTACAGCAGTATTTAACATGCAAATTACATGTATGTTTATGTATGTATGTGTACATATATATAATCTATTTATATATCCGGTTGTTGTAAAAAGAAATCCAGTGATATTTGCTTTAAAAGTCAGACTACACACAAATCGACTCGGCTAATTACTGTCAAATAATATCAGAATTAATTTTCACCATATAATTGCGAATGACTAAGGTACACAACAGTGTACTTAAATGAATAAAGTACACCAATAAATCACTATTAATTCACAACTGTTGCCTTTTCACGGGCTTATACTCAGTTTTACTCGGAGATAATCATCCGGGACAAAGGAAAAGCAATTGTTATTGAAATCAATGTAGTACCAATAATTAACCGCCCTCCGCAGTAACCTTCGCATTGCCTTACATGTGCGCTCATGCAATATTGCGTGTGGAACTGTTTGTGCTCAACCACCTTTACATGATCTACATACTAATATGTGGCACACGTGAGCGTGTGTGTGTATCTAGCACATGAGCATGTATGTGTGTGTATCTAGCACAGGAGTGTGTGTGTGTGTGTGTGTGTGTGTGTGTGTATCTAGCACATGAGTGTGTGTGTGTGTGTGTGCGCGCGCGTGCGAGGTAATTATTTTGATAGGTTGATGAGCTAGTAATGAGATTAAGTCACTGAGTAAATCAGTTCAAGCCATTGAGTAAACGGGGTGAATACACTCCGCACACGATTAAGCTGTGATGAGTAAATCAGGCCAGTTAGGGAAGCAATCCCGGGTGAGTAAGGCAGCTGAATAACCCGGTTGACTCACCTTGTTGCTGTTGACCGCCAGATGAATAGCCGCGTCTCCCTCGTTATCAGTCAGGCTGCTTGTGGCTCCCCTGTGTATGGTTAGTGCGTTAGTATGTGCGTGTGTATATATTTAACACATAAGGGTGCCACCTCTGGTGCAATTGTAGGGACCCATAGCCTCGGTGAAGAAAATAGAGAGTATTCAGAGAAGACCTTGTAGATTCTCACTGAACACCTTGAAATTTTCTTCTTCTACCCCTATTTTTTTATTAACTTTAATAATTTTATTACACTCTGTTACAGTTTACAGAAAACACACATATATAATAATCACTGTTCGAAGACCTCATCCAGCTTTTCGGAGGCTGGGTGCGTGCCCAAGATAAAGCAAGCATTTCCTATTTGGATCGCGACACTGAGGCGCTGGAACAGGAAACTGACCGCTCTTGAGTTTCGTTTGCCTAATGAGTTCCTCACCCACCTCCGTTAGGAACTTAAGTGCACATTTACCCCAGGGTCTCAGAGCCTATTGACACGAGTCTGTAACAACGTTATAGGTCCCTTGTACTTTCTGGGTCTCCCTGTAGGTGGCTGTCCCGCCTCTCTCAGCTGTACTGTGAGGTAGATAGATATCAGCCAATGTAGACGCACACATGTAGTCCCACACGACCTGTCTACCTTCCCTCCACGGCTGCAGGGTGACTCCATCTGGGCGTTTTTGGCTGTTGTCAGGTCTGCACAACAGGGGTTCCCTTTGTGCTGGACACCCAGCTGTAGCCAAACTTCTCTTGATGATGTCATTGACAGCTTCATGTCTGGCAATCTTTCCCTGTGTCTTACGACAGATGAGACCATGGCTGCCGTATTGGTCTGCCCGTGCATGTATATAATATATATATATATAATATATATATATATAATATATATATATATATATATATATATATATATATATATATATATATATATATATATATATATATATATATATTATTAGTATATTTTGGTAGCAGTCTTTCCTGTAGACATATATTATTAAATATGACCGAAAAAGTAAGATTATTAATTCTAACACGAATTTTCTCAATATTTCTTATGTAAGAAATATTGAGAAAATTCGTGTTAGAATTATTAATCTTACTTTTTCGGTCATATTTAATAATTATATTATATATATATATATATATATATATATATATATATATATATATATATATATATATATATATATATATATATATATATATATATATATTATATATATATGTATTGAGGGATAGAAGCCCTAAACCAGAAAATAATAAATACAGAATATGCGGTCATATTCAATGAAACATGTTTGAAAGAAAACCTGCTGCCAGTATACACCAATATATATATATATATATATATATATATATATATATATATATATATATATATATATATATATATATATATATATATATATATATATATAAAATAAGCTACTTCTGTGTGGTGGATAAGTGATGGGTAAAGTGGTTTTTAAGTCTAATAAACTACAGTTATCATTATTCATAAATATAATTATCGTTGATGTAACTCATCATTTTACTTTGAAACTCCTCATTTTCCCCTTCCCCTTTGTTCCTCATCTTCATTCCTTTTCATTTTTTGCCCCTTTACATTCTTTCATTTTCCTTATTTTCCTTACTTTGTCTCCCTGTCTCCTCCCTTCCTTTCTTTCTATCTCCCAATTTGTGTTTCTCTATTTTTCACACATGGGAACAGGAATAGAAGATTCTAACTGCTGTTAGCAGGCTAAACTTCAGTGGGATGCTCTTGGACGCAGGTTCGAATCCTCTTCACGGCCCTTGTGGATTTGTTCATTTACCTTCCCATAGTTCATGGTAAGCCTTACCTACTAATTTCCCTGGAACACGACCCACCGATCGGTACATGAACCATGTACCCAATTACTGCTGGGTGAACAGAGGCGTGCAGTTAAGGATTGGTGTCCAGATGATCCTTCCTGGCCAGGACTCGAACCCAAACCAAATTCTTAAAAGGCCATACCTGTTGAGGAGGAGATCGATGGCGTCCAGGGCGTCCTTGACGACGGCGGTGTGAAGTGCTGTCCGTCCCAGGCCGTCTTGAGCGTCCACATCTGTCGATGATGATGTAGATTAAGACACCCAAAAGGTGGCACGGGCATGAATAGCCCGAAAGTGGTGGCCCTTTTGAGCCATTATCAGTATCAATAGATACTGGAGATCTGTGGAGGTGTGACGGCACCCTGCGTGACGGGAGATGTCTCCCGTCCACATATATGCAGAAAAACCACATGTGAAAAATATAAAATGCTAAACGCGTTTTCGGCTCAGTTCGCCTTCATCAGAGCATTTTAGAATGCTCTGATGAAGGCGAATTGAGCCGAAAAGGCGTTTAACATTCTCTATTTTTCACATGTGGTTTTATCGCATACTTGGTTCAGTGGTTTTTGTGGTCGTTGTTGCATATACGCGTGTGTGTATGTGTATATATTGGTGTATATATATGTATACAGGCAGCAGGTTTTCTTTTAAACATGTTTCATTGATTATGACCGTATATTCTGTATTTACTATCTTCTGATTTAGGGCTTCTATCCCTCTAACTATTTTCCTAGCATCAGCTAAGCCCTGATGCTAGGAAAATAGAGGGATAGAAGCCCTAAATCAGAAGATAGTAAATACAGAATATTTATTATGGGAAGACGGGACACCACGAGCGTAGCTCTCATCCTGTAACTACACTTAGATAAAACACACACACACATACATACACACACACACACACACACACACACACACACACACATACACACACACACACACACACACACACACACACACACACACACACACACACACACACACACACACACACACTTGTTGCTTGTCGAGGTCCCCCCAACCCCTGCAGGGTCGAACTACTGACCCTCCCGAGGATACGACCCAACAACAATGGCCTAACTCCCAGCCTATAACTACTATATAAACTAATTCACTGCTAAGTGAACAGACACATTAGGTGAAAGGAAACATGCCCAGCCCTTTCTCTTCGGCCCGGGAATCGAACCTGGGATCCCCAATTGTGAACCGAGAATGAATCCAACTCTACTACGAGACCCTTAAATATATAACTATATATTCCACCTTCGTCCTTCTCTGATATCTCGCTTCCTCTATGCTCCCAACGCTTCATTTATGCTCTTGTATGCTCCCCTGCCCCCTCTCGTGTCCCTCATAGCGTTTCATGCTCCTCTTAGTCTATACGCCCCTTGTCCCTGTCTTCCCCGACCTCGGGCGTCCCCCCCCCTTACATCAAATTGCCTTTTCCTAGTAGCTGGTTATGAGAGTACACAAAGCCTGTGTTTAATATTACACGCACACACACCCACACACGAAGAAACACGAGGGTCGGGTTCTGAGAGAGAGCCGTGTCCGTGGGCTGTCTTTTGTCTCACTAATTAATGAGGGCTGAGGGAAAGGGGGGGGGGGGGTGAAATGTTGCCTCTGGAGGAGGGGTGTTGAGGGGTGAGGGCTAGAGAGTACGATGTGTTCTTCTCTTTCTCCTACATTCCTTCCCTGCGTTTTCTACCTCCCTCCTATCCCTTCCTTCTCACCATCTTCACTTTCTACTTATACCATACCTCAACCCGTTCTCGCACTTGTTTACAGCCAATATTGGCTTATTAAATAAGTGCATATGTGACATACTAATTGATTGTGAATATTTTAGTTTACCTTGAAAAAGCTTCATAGAAAACACCGACCTCACCTAACCTTCTTAGTATGTTAAGATAAGCATATTGCTTCTTAATTACAATTATTACTTAACCTATCAACCATACCTTCCTCTTTCCTTCCCTTTTACTCTCCCTTCCCCCCTTTCTTTGTTCTCCATTCGCTTCTGCCTTTCTCCCTCTTACCCTCTATATCTGCTTCCATCCCATCCTCCCGCCTTTGCTCTTCGCCTGTAATTATCGTTCAGTGTACTCTACAAACAATTCATAGAGTCCATGTTGGTGGTCTTTTGATTACTTGCGCATATATTTACTATAACCTTGGGGATAGTCTAGACCAGTTATCACTTATATCGAACGTGTAAACATTCGCTTAACCCTCTGGCGGCGCGAACTGAAACTTATGGCGATTATTCGTATGTAAGGTAATTGCTTTTCCTATCTCCCATGACCCCTTTTTCTCCCTCCCTCTTGCTCCTTCCTAAACCAATTAATGGTCTCTTGCGCCTCTCGTTTCCCCTTTTTCTTACTCTCTTCCCCCCTCACTCCCCTCCTTACCCCTCACCTGCACCATGATGGATCAAGAAGACTATGGCTTGCGTCTGGTTGTTAGCGGCGGCGTGGTGCAAGGCAGTCCAGCCCCGCTTGTCAACTATGGCTACTCGTGTTGGGTCGCTTTTATACAGGCGCTCCAGCTCCACTAGGTCACCTTTAGCTGCCATCTGGGGAACGGAGTCAGAGTCAGAACGGAGTCACTCTTGATACTGGTATTGGCTCAAAAGGGCCGCCACTTACGGGCTATTCATGCCCGTGCCACCTTTTAGGTGGCTTAATCTTTATCAATCAATCAACGGAGTCAGAGATTTAGGGGGTTTGTAAGAGGGTCTTTGTGTTAAGGTGTTAGTTAACTCGTCAGATAGGCGCACTGTTACATGAGGGGGATAGCTCAACACCGTATGTCTTCATCAACACCTGGGCTCACCTGTAGGACGTCTGGGCTCACCTGTAGGTCCTCTGAGCTCACCTGTAGGTCCTCTGGGTGTAACTGTAGGTTCTCAACACCTGGGCTCAGTTATACAAACAACTCTCACTTCTCCACGTTGACATCACCTGTGTAGACGCAATACAGAGGTGCCACCACCTGCGCTCACCTTCAGGATCCTGTAGGGGGACTCCACCATGAGGCACACTTGCTTATCCAGGTCGCCCGAGATCGAGCGGCTCCCTCCGTTGCTCTCCACGTCCCTGACACTCTGTTCAACGGGTTAAGTTGGCTGTTCAACAGGTTTAAATGTCTTTCGAGAAGATAAAATATCTGTTTAATATGTTAAGGTGGTGTTTTCAAGAGGATAAGATGTCTGTTAAACAGGTTAAGTTGCTGAAATACATGTTCGGATGAGTACAGATCAAGGGTATATGCATATAAAAGATACAGGGGGGGCGGTTAATACGACGGGTACTGAGAATATTGGGTATTGGGTACAAGGGTACAGCAAAGAACAGCAAGGTATATCTGACTCTACCTGTATCCTATCAGGTAAAAGGTCCAACTTGTTCAACTAAGCAAATCGACTGAGAATACATGGAGGTACAGCCTCCAGTAGTTTATTGATCACGTCTGCAATTGCACTGTATCTAATATATTTTCGTTACAGTTAAAGTTCCCCATGACTAATAATCAAAGTAATATCCTTATTTGGCTTATGGACAGTACAGAAAATCTTGAAGTTTATTGTGGGTAAAATCTTTCGTTCCTGCTAAACTCTGGTGTTCCAGCAGACACCTTGATGAGGATTATTTAGTGATGACCAAACCACAACTCAGAAGATGGAGTGGCGACGACGTTTCGGTCCGTCCTGGACACGATGGAGTGACGACGACGTTTCGGTCCGTCCCGGACACGACTTTATAATGGTCCAGGACGGACCGAAACATCGTCGCTTCTTCTTCTTCCTATGTGTGGTTTGGTCATCATATCTTCAGATTCGTTATTGTGATTCATCGTCTGGAGATGATATCTAGACTAGAATACAATAATAGGTTACTTTTGGTTCCTACTAAGAACAGTATAGAAATGTTCGAAGTATGAGCAAGTGTGAAAAGTATACATACGGTATACTATGATGTACAACAATCATTGGTAACCATGACCCGTTGCAACCCATTCTCGCACTTGCTTGTAGTCAATATTGGCTTATTTAATAAGTGCATATGTGACATACTGATTGTGAATATTTTAGTTTACCTTGAAAAGCTTCATAGAAAACACCGACCTCACCTAACCTTCTTAGTATGTTAAGATAAGCATCTTATTGCTTCTTAATTACAATTATTACTTAACCATGTTACTTAACCATTACTTAACGTTGATAGGTTAAGTAATAACCTTCTTTTAGTCAGTTATGCAAAACGATTTAACATGCTTCTTTATTAAGGGATATTAAGTCGTTGGCCAGCAGATTAATACTTGTGATATTGACTGTCTATCTCGTTTGTGTGCCTGTCAGTTGTCCTCTGTCTGTGTGCCTGTCACTGTCACTGAGCGTTGACGTGTGTGTGGATATTTTCCTCCTACGCCACGGAGTCTTGAGACGAGACGTGTTTGTCCAACTGACAGCAGCCACTGTCAGCAATATGGAGTCTTAAGGCTCAGGCCAATCAGCGGCCCCTTGTTATATTTGACTTTTGTTGTAGTTGCTGTCTGATGCAATGTATTGGTGTATGCTGTTGTTTACAAATAACAATTGATGGTTTGCTGCGTATACATCAATGTATTGCAATCTGTTATATGTTGTGCTTTAATACTGGCAATACACAAGGATTTGTTTTTCTATTACCCTTCCTTCCCCCCGTCCCATCTCAAATCCTTATCCTGACCCCCTTCCAAGTGCTATATAGTCGTAATGGCTTGGCGCTGTTCGTTGATAGTTCCCTTCTATTTAGCATAGTGATATTGGTTAATTTTATTTTGATAAAGTGCAGCTGGAACAATTTAAAGCTTAATTATCCTTGGATAAATTGATCCATCACTTAAATCTTAATTATTCGTGGACAACTTAGCTTAAAAGCTTAAATCTCTTGAATTTATTCCTTCAGAACATGGTCATCAGCTTAGTTTTTTTTTTTTTTTTGCAGGGATATTCCTGCGCGGGCCCTAAGCCTCTGGCTGGCTCACTAAGAGTTGCTTGTTTCTGTTTTACTTGGATGGAGTATGAGTATGACTCGTATCAGCTTAGTTAATCACATAATGGGTTCGTATCCTGGCCGGGGAGGATTTACTGGGCGCAATTCCTTAACTGTAGCCTCTGTTTAACGCAACAGTAAAATGTGTACTTGGATGAAAAAACGATTCTTCGCGGCAGGGGATCGTATTCCAGGGACCATAGGATTAAGGACCTGCCCGAAACGCTACGCGTACTAGTGGCTGTACAAGAATGTAACAACTCTTGTATATATCTAAAAAAAAAAAATAATAATTTTGCCAGCAGCTTGAAGCTTATATTCGTTCATAAGTATTGTATTCGAGCGAACTAAATGCAGATGGTCAGACTTATGCCACAAGATCCCATCATGTTTTTTGGAAACGATTTAGCTCAAGGTTCATTCCCCCGGCAGGACAGAAACTGTTGGGTACGTTCTCACTCGCCTGATGTGTCTGTTCACCTAGCAGTTAAGTAGGTACCCCAGGAGTTAGGCAATTGTTGTGGGTTGTATTTTTGGGAAGGTCATTAGTTAGGGGAAGGTGGGAGGGGGACCTTGATATGTCTAAATACAGGGTTCCTGTTTCCGACAAACGGGTATTGCTTACTTAGGTGTATCTTGGGGGATCTGGTGTAGTTACCCTTGTATTATAGTTATTTGATATCGTTTTCTCTTGTGCGATAATAATCATCCATTTTCTCTAATTAAATGGATAAGAGAACGGGATTTTTGTTATCCTGAACTTTAAAAAAATAGACGTAAGCTAAGAATGTTGACCAGACCACACACTAGAAGGTGAACGGACGACGACGTTTCGGTCCGTCCCGGACCATTCTCAAATCGATTGTGTAACGGTTCTATTGTTACGTAAAGTATGGTGACAAATAAACACAGACACTAAGATACTATATATATATTTGGTCGAATATACAGAAGTACACAGGTGATACGTTGGTGTGAGTTGAGCGCACTGAGCGTCGGTACAGTATCTCGCAACTGTCTGCTCTAGACCACACTTGAAAGTAGACTCTGCTTTAATGTTTGCTATCCTGCTGCTTATATGCCCGGGCAACTCCTCACCGTATTGCCCGGGCAACGCCTCACCTCATTCATCTCCAAAGGTTGACAGGAATATTAACAATGCATTTGGAGCGAGTATATTATTGGGATAATCTACTCGCTACAATTGTAACCACAATCGACTTGAGAATGGTCCAGGACGGACCGAAACGTCGTCGTCCCTCCACCTTCTAGTGTGTGGTCTGGTCAACATACTTGAGCCCCGTTATTGTGACTCCTCGCCTGCACGCTAAGGCTCTTCCAGCAGCCGCTGCTTCTTCAGGTATTTGTATCGTCGTCACCATTGTCATCACAAATGTGATGATCTCCATCATCATTACCAGAGAGTGACTACTGTCATCAACGTAGTGACTAGGCATTGTATGTACTAGCTCTATAAATTCATCAATATATGTATCACACCTTGTATGTATGTACTTAACCTGAATACACATTTGAATTTGAATTTTGACTAAACATCAGTACACAGAAGGGTGGCGTTATATGTGACATCAGTACAGAGAGGGTGGCATTATGTGACATCAGTACAGAGAGGGTGGCATTATGTGACATCAGTACAGAGAGGGTGGCATTATGTGACATCAGTACAGAGAGGGTGGCATTATGTGACATCAGTACAGAGAGGGTGGCATTATGTGACATCAGTACAGAGAGGGTGGCATTATGTGAGATCAAAATACAAGATGATGCACTAAATATTCACCATTGGCGGGACGTCCTGAATAGGCCTGGTGGCGCGGCCTAGCAGGGTAGGCCTGGCGGTCTGGCCCATCTGGGTAGGTCTCACGGCCCGGACCAGTTGGGTAGGTCTCACAGCCTTGGCCCACTTGCCACTGGTCATAGTTCGAGGTTTTGACTCTGAGGTGGTCTCCCTATATGGAACTCGTGTGGGGGTTGTGGTGGTGGTTGTGACTTGTCGTTGTTACCTAACAGTGATTACGGGTCGAAGTGAGATCTAGCACTTTATGATGTCTTCTGATCTTGTTGAACCCGTTGCCTTTACAGTAATTTAATAATCCTGACATTCGAATTCCTTGTCGAATCTGGCCTTTCAAGTTGTGGATGAAAGTGGCTTTCACGAGTCCTTTGAAACTGCACTTGTTGGACACCTGGTCGTGCAGGGTAGAAGTGTTTCCTTAGTTCTTTAGCTCGTGTGTTTCCAGCTTTCACTTATGTCCCCTCGTCCAGCTTTGTTATAATCTAAAGAAGTTCGTGTGTTGTTTGTAGTGTTGGTGACTGGTGGTGGTGGTTATGGCACCATAGTAGTGGTGGTGGTGGTGGTGGTGGTGTTAGTTGGAACGGTGCGGTTATCGTGATGTTGACTGACAGTCGTGAAAGGGGGTCCTGATCAGCACGTCTCCGGGCACCGATCACTGGCTACTGACGCGATCAAGCAAGTCACAAAATAGTGACCTCTTAATGCTCCCTCCTCTCCCGACCCCCTCTCTCTCTCCCCTCCCTGCCAGGCCCCTCTCCACCCTTCCCCATCCCTTTCTCCTTCCCCTCCCTCTCGTCCTCTCTCGACCCCTCTGTTCCCCTCCCCCTCTCCCGCCAACCACCCGCCCCTCACTGTAACCTGCGTCACGGCGACAATCAAATCTCAACTGGACGGCGTGGGCTCAAACCCGGCCAGAACTGACCTAAAGAAGTGCTTCACAAGTGGGGAAAATGGTCGGGGAACTGCCGTGTTGGCTAAGGCTCGGGGTGGTGGCTAAGGCTCGGGGTGGTGGCTAAGGCTCGGGGTGGTGGCTAAGGCTCGGGGTGGTGGCTAAGGCTCGGGGTGGTGGCTAAGGCTCGGGGTGGTGGCTAAGGCTCGGGGTGTTGGCTAAGGCTCGGGGTGGTGGCAAAGAATCTGAAATGACATACAAGAACTTGAAATCATTCTTAATGAAACCATAACACTAATTCTAAGAGTACAATATACATCGAATTTACGTCAAGACCCAAGTCCTTCTAGCATTAAAAACATCATCATATAACTGAATGCTAAGACTGCTATTAAGATGGCCAGAGACCCCCCCCCCCACACTATAATTACATTGCTAAGAATACACAAATTATAAACGGAAAAAGAAAGGAATCGAACTGGCATGGACGATCAGTCTGCTCTCTCTCTCTCGAACACCGCCTATGTATTTACGTATGGAGGTTAGCTTAGCATTTTATAAGCACCGAATCACCTTCTGTGGTTGAGTGTTCAATAAACCCATGAACTATATGTTTAACACATCTCTAACCCTGTTCATGGAGGACAGAAGAAAATGTATATATGATGGTTAGCATTGTAAATGTCTGGCCACGTCTGTGGTAGAAAATAATAATAATAATAAAAAAGCCTGCTTGAGCAAGCACGCGAGGTGGTGCCTGTGAGGATGTCGTCTCCCTGGGAGGAGGCTCCACACAAGATTCCAATATACAAGATGCCAGTAAAGAAGTCCGGCATGTCACCTCAAGCAATAAGACCTGCATATCTCGAGGGAATTAATAGAGGCAGGACAGGAATTAGGTTAAATCTACATTAATGGATCAGCTAATCCTATAGACGGGGGCTGGAGCAGCGTTCACTGTAGTCAGAAATAATGCCTTCCAGAAGGAACATGAAGAAAAAACTCCGAGTACCTCGTCGCCTCAACGCCAGCAGAGCTCACTTCCATTGTTATGTTATTAAAATATAATATTTCATTATTTATAAATCTCTCTATACGTTGTTGTTAAAGATTCGCTACCTGGAACAAAGTTCCAAGTAGCACGGGCTATGGCTCTTTATACCTATATCCGGCCCCCTCCTTTTCCCCAAGGTCGAATTAACCCTTCCCAAGGATGCAACCCAACAAGTTGACTAATTCCAGAGTACCTGTTTACTGTTAAGTAAGCAGGGGGCAGTAGGTGATAGGAAACGCGCCCGTTATGTCCCGCTCGAGATTCTAACCCGGAATTTCCGATTGTGAGTCGATAATGAACCCAACTGTGCTGACTCAAGAGCGGCGCTGCAAAGCCTCGGGAAGTTAAATTTTGCTCCGAGGGGCGAGGGTTGCCAAAGCCTCCGAGGGGCGAGGGTTGCCAAAGCCTACGAGGGGCGAGGGTTGCCAAAGCCTCCGAGGGGCGAGGGTTGCCAAAGCCTACGAGGGGCGAGGGTTGCCAAAGCCTCCGAGGGGCGAGGGTTGCCAAAGCCTACGAGGGGCGAGGGTTGCCAAAGCCTCCGAGGGGCGAGGGTTGCCAAAGCCTACGAGGGGCGAGGGTTGCCAAAGCCTCCGAGGGGCGAGGGTTGCCAAAGCCTACGAGGGGCGAGGGTTGCCAAAGCCTCCGAGGGGCGAGGGTTGCCAAAGCCTCCGAGGGGCGAGGGTTGCCAAAGCCTCCGAGGGGCGAGGGTTGCCAAAGCCTACGAGGGGCGAGGGTTGCCAAAGCCTCCGAGGGGCGAGGGTTGCCAAAGCCTCCGAGGGGCGAGGGTTGCCAAAGCCTCCGAGGGGCGAGGGTTGCCAAAGCCTCCGAGGGGCGAGGGTTGCCAAAGCCTCCGAGGGGCGAGGGTTGCCAAAGCCTCCGAGGGGCGAGGGTTGCCAAAGCCTCCGAGGGGCGAGGGTTGCCAAAGCCTCCGAGGGGCGAGGGTTGCCAAAGCCTCCGAGGGGCGAGGGTTGCCAAAGCCTCCGAGGGGCGAGGGTTGCCAAAGCCTCCGAGGGGCGAGGGTTGCCAAAGCCTCCGAGGGGCGAGGGTTGCCAAAGCCTCCGAGGGGCGAGGGTTGCCAAAGCCTCCGAGGGGCGAGGGTTGCCAAAGCCTCCGAGGGGCGAGGGTTGCCAAAGCCTCCGAGGGGCGAGGGTTGCCAAAGCCTCCGAGGGGCGAGGGTTGCCAAAGCCTCCGAGGGGCGAGGGTTGCCAAAGCCTCCGAGGGGCGAGGGTTGCCAAAGCCTCCGAGGGGCGAGGGTTGCCAAAGCCTCCGAGGGGCGAGGGTTGCCAAAGCCTCCGAGGGGCGAGGGTTGCCAAAGCCTCTGGAATGTAAAGCAGAAAACATGGATAGTAGCTGAAATCAAGAGAAAGGTGGAAGTGCTATCGAACCGCGGTAGAATGATCACGTTCCTGTGGAATCCCTCGCATGTTACCCCAACCACTTGGGATGGACGGTGGAACGACGTCTCACATCATGCAGGTCGACGTTCAGAGTGATGATTGATGAAGATTAAGCCACCCAAAAGGTGGCACGGGCATGAATAGCCCGTAAGTAGTGGCCCTTTTGAGCCATTACCAGTATCAAGAGCTGATACTAGAGATCTGTTGAGGTGCGACTGCACCCTGCGTGACGGGAGATGTCTCCCGTGGTCGACGTTCAATCCCCCGATCGTCCAAGTAGTTGGGCACTATTCCATCCCCCCGTCCCATCCCAAATCCTTATCCTGATCAGCTCAGCCCAGCCAGCGTTATATAGTCGTAATGGCTTGGCGCATTCCCCTGATATTTTCCTTCCCTTCCCTTCCCTTGCGTATTGGCACCTGTGGAAACGAAGGAGCAATATGCTGGCTGCCGAGGGTGATGGAGACCATATTAAATACTTCGTCCCCAAGACCCGTTACAAATGAGGAGCATAATCAGTCACCACCGTGGCCAGGTAGACCAGGAGAGGAGGATAGAAGAGCAAGTCATTGAATCTGTACGCTGGTACACTGCCGCCATAACTGACGACCTCATTATGGACGTTAGCTATAAGGTGGTGGTTGAAGAAGGGGGAATCTGTAATTGCAAGAATTCGTCTTGGATACAAGTACCCATGGAGATTCGAGATGAAAACAGCTGAGCAACGAAGTTAAAGAACTTGCAGAATGAGTGAAGGACATCGTCTCGACCACTACCTAAGAGACTGCGCCCTTCTAAGAGTCATCAGAAATGTGTAGCATAATAAACTTAACATTTTGTCAAATATTGATACCCTCAAAAGTTTCCCCCCCTCTTTGTTGACAGTGTTGAGCCAATCGACTTGAGAATGGTCCAGGACGGACCGAAACATCGTCGTCCCTTCACCTAGTGTGTGGTCTGGTCAACATACTTCAGCCCCGTTATTGTGACTCCTCGCACCCTCTTTGCACCCGCATAATAACGCAAATTTGAGGGTTGTAAGATGTAAATCTCTTGTTTGCCAAACTGTTCACGGGGGACAGTTAAGTCTCTGCTGCGTTTGAGTACAAATAACAGGATGAACAACCCAGCGAGTTCTCTTCCTATTGTCGTGTGTTGTTCATGCTACTTTGGCGCTATGCCCCTTCAGGGTAAAATGTAAAAAAAATATATATATTTATATAAATGGTTAATAGTCATAATAGAATGGCTAATAGTTAATAGAATGGCTTAGAAGCTATAATTTCATTCATCCAAATATTATAAAAATTCTCCTGTCTTTATATAATTCGTGAAACATCGGGGGTACTGTACCATTATTTAAAACCTTGCTAAGAAAAATGATGAATTAAGGCTTGAGCTTAATTAAATTGGAAATGTCCACATGTGATGCAGGGTATCAAGGTAGACTGAAACAAAGGCAGGGGAAGACTAGGTGCAGGCAGGGAGGAAAGTGGGTGAGGTATAGCGGGAAGTAGAAGAGGGAAGTAGGAGAGAGGAGGATCGAGAGGGGATAAGAGAAGAGAGAAGAGGGGAGGAGGAGGGAGGTAGAGAGGAAGGGGAGCAGCCGAGTAGGACCATGTTGACCGTTTAATATTGCTCCATCAGCTAAGTGGCTGACGGTGACATTGAAGGGCGAACAAATCAGGAGACAGGTTGACTGACACACACACACACACACACACACACACACACACACACACACACACACACACACACACACACACACACAGTTGGACCAGAC